CTGCTGGTTATAATAAACATATCGTCAACATTCCAGGGAATACAACTTGGGTGATTATAAACGATCCCGATAATTTATGGGTTTTGTTGAATTAATTGGGGTATTAACTGTTCTGTGTTCAAGTCCGCAACTTCTCCGCTCCTGGCTAAAGCTTCCGATTCTCTTATGACGTGAAGTATTTTTTTTTTTTTTTTTTTGTGATTACTTTCTGGTACCTCTGGAGGTATGGTTGTTTAGATGTATGTAGTGTTTGAGAGATGTTACCAGCATCTGGCGATTGTTATGGCTATAGGGTTGTAGGAGTGTGGACCTGGAGTGTAGTGTAAGGCATTATTCAGGTCCTTGTGTGTAATATACATCACGCTAAACTTGGAGTATGTAGTGCCAGCGTGCAGCTGTCTAGTCAAACACAATGTGAAGTTAGAGAACGTTCAGAGATATGCCACCAGATTAGTCCTGGAGCTGAGAGGTGTGAGCTATGAGGAAAGGCTGCAGGAATTTAACCTCATATCACTGGAGGAAAGAAGAGTTATGGAAGACATGATTACCACCCACAAAACTCTCAAAATTAATTACTAGTAATTGAGAGGGTAAATACAGACAAGACTATTTAACACGAGTGGTACTTTAACCAGATGGAAACTTAGTAGCTAAATGACCCACAGAGACAGGATAAGTAAGTGTTTTCAGTGTCACAGTAGTTAACAAATGGAAAGCACTAGGAAGTGATGTGTTGGGGAGACACTATACTGTTCCAAATGTAGATATGATAGAGCACAATAGGCTGAGAAACTGTACACCAGTACATTGCCAGTTGAGAGGCGCGACCAAAGAGACAAAGCTCAACCCCCGCAGGCATAAGTAGTTAATTACATGATGAGTGGGACGTCATCACACGCCCACGTGATGAGCGGGACGTCATCACACGGCCACAGGCAGATGAGACTGATGCAGGACAAGCCAGGACCGCCTTTTCCTGATAGTGGACGGAGCGTCGAGACGCCCGATTGTATCAGCAAGCTATTATAAGTGTTGGTGGGGAGGGGGGAGGACCCAGAGACGTTATTGACAACTTTCTGATGAAAATAAATGTGTTTACTGTTTACAGCCGAGCTCTCAAAAAGCCATGGTTGCCATAATAGCTTATCAGTTTGTGTAATTATCGGTGAAGGTGCAGTACCCGGAGTCGGCTCCAGTCGTGCGTTATCGAGGCTCTGGCAGTCACACTGAAGATGCTTGTACGGAGCACGTAACCACAGACAGAATTACCCACAATTTTGTATGACCAGCTCATTGCTTAGCATGTTCACTCCTGCCAAAATCGTGCTTTCTCGCTTTGAGTATTGCTGGGTACTCGCCTCCCTTTTCAAAGCAGATGAAATGTATAAAATAGTAGGAATATGTGTAATATATATATATATATATATATATATATATATATATATATATATATATATATATATATATATATATATATATATATAATACTAGCTGTTATTACTATCTGTACCCGGTCATGCCTTGCTGTAGCAACCCTCCCGTCCCCTTATCCTCCCCTCCCCCGTTCCCGAGGGGACGGGGGAGGAACAAATAAAGGGGGGGAACAAATAAAGGGGGGGAACAAATACAAATAAAGGGGGGAACAAATAAAAACTATATTCACCAAATGAACGGTATGGTGAACAACACAGCTCGGTTCCAATGCAATGTCACAAAATAATTAAATAAAAATAAATAGAAATCTATGAAAATTCAATTCATCAATGGAATCTGAATCATTGAAATGGAATCGTAACATATTTAGTATAGCGTGTGTTGCTTTTACGTTAAACAGATGGCGTTGTTTTTCCAAAAATCATGTTTTTACCTGTCACAGGTGTGTAGCATGTATATAGTAAGTATAAAAACATGCACATATTCGAATGCAACGTTGTCAAAACTTCAAAGCGATTGGTAAAGAGGTTTCAGAGATTTCCCTCACATAAAAACTCGCATGAAATTTTAAAAAAAGCATGTTTTTACCTTTCAAAGACATGACATCTATATAGTAGGCATATAGAAACACGCTCGTATGCGAATGGAACGTTACAAAACAATCAGTGAAGAACTTTAGGAGAGTAGCGAGTTTGAACAAACGAACATTTACATTTTTATTTATATAAATATATATAATTTGTATCAAGTGGATACAAATTCCACTAGAAATACATTTGTATATACAAGATTATATATATAATCTCATTTCCCAAATTTACTTATTTAAAAAGCTTACTGGAGCGAGAGAGCCGGTAGGAAATACACCAAAAAGCCAGTGACTAGGAGTGCCATCATGTAGAGAACATTGTGTGAACATCAGAGGTCCACGGCTCTTCAACAATATTCCGCTAAATATAAGAAAATTCTCCACAAAAGTGGAAAATTTTCAAGAGGAAGTTGCATAAGTTCCTGCAGAAAGTTTCGGACGAGCTGGGTTGTAATGGATGTGTGGGCATACGGGCCGCTACAAGCAACAGTCTTATCGATCAAGTTAAGACCAGGAAGTTTGGCCCCAGGCCAGTCTGTGGGATTAAAAGAACTCTCGAAAACAACTTCGGGTAACCCCTGACCTCCACCCATCTCAAGTGGAATTTGTACATCTTCCTTTTGATGTTGTATAGGTTAACGAGAGGAAGGCGCCTGTGTCTTAGTCTTCCCGCTGCTACAAGTCACACCTACTTGAAGTAGTGCCGCTCTCCTCGTTAGACATATCGTTACCCCGCACTGTGGTTACTCTAGTGCTGCTCTCACGGTTAACGACATTACCCATGACAAGAGGTACAGTACCACTAGGTACATGAGTACCTAGTGGTACACGAGGCAGCAGAACTGGACCTCAGCAGGGTAGAACCCAAGTCTGGTGTTGGTGTGGTGTGAGCGGTGGTGGTGGTGGTCTGGTCAGTCTGGTATGATTAATGGTGGTAGTATTGAGGGTACTGGGTAGTATTGGAGGCTGGGCCGGGGGATGGTGCACCTCCAAAGGATACCTGATCAACCAGGCTGTGACTCATACGTCAGGCTGCGAACAGCCGCGTCCAACAGCCTGGTTGATCAGTCCAGCAACCAGGAGGACTGGTCGACGACCGGGCCGCGGGGACGCTCAGCCCCGGAAACACCTCAAGGTAACCCCGTCCTCCTAAGGTTTCAAAACGTCAAGAAAACTGTTAGTTTAAAATGTCCTCTCAGAGGACATTTTATTTAACCGTTTTCTTGGCGTTTTGAAACCTTAGGAGAGGACTCCTCTCCTGACCTAACAGACTAAGCCAGAGGACCCATAACCAGAAAGTCACTTTCGCGAGCAGCTTCCATGTTCTAATACGACGATTTTTGGCCTTAGTAACGCATACGAGCAGAAAGCGACGTTCTTTGTATGAGGACAAGTTGATCGGTGAGCGTGGGTAGTGGCTGTGGTGATGTGTCCGCTGGAGGGCAGACTGAGGAAGGTGACAGTGAAGACGGACTTACCACCACCACACGGACGTGACTCCTTCAATGGTGAGTGAGACCTTGTCACCCCACCGACACCTGGCTTGCTTTTCACTACCTGTCACGAGGAGCTCGGTGTGGTCGTGGCTCAAATGCCCCCTCGCTCATGCTTCACCCCTACCGTGAAGTACAGGCGAAAAGCCTCGTCACCTTCATAATGTAATTTGGAGGATTAAGAGCCTCGGGGTTAGTATCAGTTTTGGTGTTTGTGGTTTGGTGGTGTGACAATGTAAACCTGCCAGTGACATCACACTGTCGTCCACAACCTGCGTGACCTTCCTCATTGTTGGTGGGTGGTGTGCTTCATGTACACTCTACTCTGCCTCGCCCTTCACTCAAGCCCTTCTTTTGATAATTACGTACTTCACTGAAGCATTGTTGTCGTACTTGTTGCATATCTCTGGACCTTTTCTAGTTTCTCCTTCTTTTTCAAGTAAGGGTTCCATGCTGGGGAGATATATATTATATATATAATATATAATATATAAATATATATATATATATATATATATATATATATATATATATATATATATATATATATAATATATAATTGGAAAACTCTTCCTCATGAAAGGGTTCGAACTTTAGACACCCAGGAGCTGAAAACCCACTGGCGAGTCCAATACTCTGATCACCTGTCCAAACTTACTGTACAAGTGTCATTGGTAGCCTAGGCTATATCCCCCAACGATCCGACAGCACTTGGTGGTCACAGATCACAGTTCAATTTCATCAAACCAAATACAAAAGTTTACCAAATACAATTGTTTCGGTTTATGCAAGTATATTTGTGTGTGTGTGTGTGTGTGTGTGTGTGTGTGTGTGTGTGTGTGTGTTTACTAGTTGTGTTTTTACGGGGGTTGAGCTTTGCTCATTCGGCCCGCCTCTCAACTGTCAATCAACTGTTTACTAACTACTTTTTTTTTCCCACACCACACACACACACACACACACACACACACACACACCCACCCCAGGAAGCAGCCCGTGACAGCTGACTAACTCCCAGGTACCTGTTTACTGCTAGGTAACAGGGGCATTCAGGGTGAAAGAAACTTTGCCCATTTGTTTCTGCCTCGTGCGGGAATCGAACCCGCGCCACAGAATTACGAATCCTGCGCGCTATCCACCTGGCTACGAGGCCCCGTGTGTGTGTGTGTGTGTGTGTGTGTGTGTGTGTGTGTGTGTGTGTGTGTGTGTGTGTGTGTGTGTGTGTGTGTGTGTGTGTGTGTGTGTGTGTGTGAGAGTGAGAGAGTGTGCGCGCGTGTGCGTGCGCGCCACTGACCTCTCAAGAAGATAGACCGTGCTGGCTCATGTCCGCCATTACTACTACTCAACCCATAAGACTCGGCAGTACTTGATATCATAAGCGAAGATTACTGTACGACCGATGCCTCCAGACCTCTATGATCTGTGCAATCATTACCCAAAGTAGCCGACATGGTATCAATAAGATATCTATTTTGCTTTTTCAGGAAATGTAATTGCAAAGCCAGAGGTGACTGGAGCACCAGCGGAGGATGGGGGAGAAGTAACAATATTATATTATAAAGTAGGGTGAGTGTGGGTCAGTCAATCAGTAGGTGTGGTAGACTAGCGCAGGGAGGAGGGGGCCTGTCTGGCTGTGGAGACCCAGAGCTTGCTGCCTGTTACACCTACACCCCAAGTGTGTCCTGCCTCGCCTGCCCCTAGCACTTCTTCCTGGCTTACTGTGTGTGTACCCACCCCAACACGCTATCCTGTAATGCCTCACCACTTGTTGATGTGTTACTGTCTCAGCACGTGTTGATGTGTTGTTACTGTGTGTGTGTCAACACTTGTTGTGTTACTGTGTGTATGTCAGCACGTGTTGATGTGTTGTTACTGTGTGTGTGTGTCAGCACGTGTTGATGTGTTGTTACTGTGTGTGTGTGTCAGCACGTGTTGATGTGTTACTGTGTGTGTGTCAGCACTTGTTGTGTTACTGTGTGTGTGTCACCACTTGTTGATGTGTTACTGTCTCAGCACGTGTTGATGTGTTGTTACTGTGTGTGTGTCAACACTTGTGTTGTTACTGTGTGTGTCAGCACTTCTTGTGTTACTGTGTGTGTGTCAGCACTTGTTGTGTTACTGTGTGTGTGTCAGCACTTGTTGTGTTACTGTGTGTGTGTCAGCACTTGTTGTTGTGTTACTGTGTGTGTGTCAGCACTTGTTGTGTTACTGTGTGTGTGTCAGCACTTGTTGTGTTACTGTGTGTGTGTCAGCACTTGTTGTGTTACTGTGTGTGTGTCAGCACTTGTTGTTGTGTTACTGTGTGTGTGTCAGCACTTGTTGTGTTACTTTGTGTATGTCAGCACTTGTGTTACTGTGTGTGTGTCAGCACTTGTTGATGTGTTACTGTGTGTGTCAACACTTTGTATCGTGACTCTAGCCAGGGGTATGGTGTTGGGGCTGTTATTGTGATACTGTAACCTGGGTATAGTGTTACTGATTTTATCATTATATATATATATATATATATATATATATATATATATATATATATATATATATATATATATATATATATATATATATAATATATATGAAAGTAATTTGTTTTGTATCATTGGAAGGATCAATTACAGGTTTACCATTCAGGAAAATGTTCTTTCTAAATAAATAATAAAATTTACGAATTTAAAAAAAGAATTGAGAACTCACAAATAGATTTAGGTATTTATACGATAGTGTAATTAAGAAAGCAAAATTTGCTGTTAATTGTCTTAAGTTTTTTCTGTGTACTGTGGGATATTTTCATTAAAAATCTTAGGGTAACTGTTGTGTTGTTGTCACAGATCAGGAACCATTCCCAGGTTTCTGTACAATTGTAAAAATAAAATAATGACACAAGAAAGCCTAGTGTTTAAATTTATTTTACTTTTGAGCTGTATTTGAAAGAAATCGGATATTGTAAAGTTTTATTTTTATCCGACGGAAGCCTTGAAAGCAATGGCAATACAGAAAAACATTAAACTAGTATTTTTTTTTTTTTTTAGATTTTTGTTATGCAAACACAACTCATAATCATTCACTGAATACGAGTTACTGGTAAATAATTACAACTTTAATTATATAACTAGAATTAAGATTGCTGACGATGTTTATCACTGCAGTTTTAGCGGGAAAATACAATCTCAAAACATAATTTGTTAGCCTTTGATGGAGAGGAAGGTATGGATGGCGATGTAGGGAAGGTATGGATGGCGATGTAGGGAAGGTATGGATGGCGATGTAGGGAAGGTATGGATGGCGATGTAGGGAAGGTATGGATGGCGATGTAGGGAAGGTATGGATGGCGATGTAGGGAAGGTATGGATGGCGATGTAGGGAAGGTATGGATGGCGATGTAGGGAAGGTATGGATGGCGATGTAGGGAAGGTATGGATGGCGATGTAGGGAAGGTATGGATGGCGATGTAGGGAAGGTATGGATGGCGATGTAGGGAAGGTATGGATGGCGATGTAGGGAAGGTATGGATGGCGATGTTGGGGTTAAGCTTCAAAATAGTTTTCAGACTATTTTCCCGCCAAACTTGAAAAGACAAAAATCCTCGGCAATATTAATTCTGATTATATAATTTACTTTGTAAATGTTTTCATGTAACTTGTTTTCAATGAATGATTGATTTATATTTGCACAATAAAAAACAAAATATATTAGTTTCCAACTCTCCTGTGTTGCCACAGCTTCCAGTACTTTCGTCGGTTATTATACAAAATAAACTAAAAATGCCCGATTTATTTCAAATACCGCTCAAAATGTTTCTAAATCACTAGGCGTACTCATGTTACCATTTTTTACACTATATCAAAAGCTTGGCAGTGGTCCGTGATGTAAGTACAACTAATGTGTTGTCTCCCTTGTGGAGTGAGGCTGTGTTCACAACCTTTCACGGTCTGCCGGATGTTACCTGTCTTCAGGATTTTCCTCCATATTATGCCGTGTCGTGCTAATGGTATTTTTCCTCCTTATGAACACTGAACTCTAGGAGTTCTGTCCCTGGACCCCGAGTGCATATTTCTCAATCGAAGCCTGTGGTATTATGATATCCGACATCTGCCTCTTTCTCTTTGTGGGTCTGAGTTTATGAAGACGTTAGTCTTCCACTTTCATTGTATTTAGCGCTAAACAGAGAATCATTATGCTCTTTCAAGATTTCGCTCATTCCTTTATGCTCTTGGGTGTGTGTAGCTCTACTTGTAATTGAAGTGATTATACTTGCAGAGGTTTTGGATTTGTCTTATGCATTTGTAAAGAAACATTGTTTATTCTATATCTTGCATGGCTTTCTATTCGTTTTATATTTCTTCATTCTAGTATGAGTGATTTAGTTTTTGGTCTGCCTCCGTAATTTATCTGTGATGTTTTACCTGCTCTCATGGGGACATTTGCGGCATCTTGAGTGCTTGACTACTCTTCCTTCTCCTCTTCTATAATCATCTGCGTTCTTCTTGGTTGAACCTTGTACTGATCTTTCTTCGGTGCATATATTTAATGCATATTTTATATTTTTCTGCATTAATGCCTTTATACATTGTTAAACTTTGAGAGTTCAGTATTGTGTCCCATGAAATGTTTGATAATTTATAGGTTTTGTCCCATGCAAATGGTTTGTTGAAGTTAAATTAAATTCCCCCCTCCCACGCTGCAAATGTGATGGAGACATGCTATATAAATGTATATTTTCATATACTTCAAAGATGTCATATTTGATACTGTAATGTTCCTGATTTATTTGTCCTTGTTACAGTAAATAAATACAGTGACCCGAGAGGTGTGATTAGGGCAGTGAGGGTGGCAGTAGAGGCGCCCAGGGCTGGAAGTGCGTGCTTGCAGGTGCCGCCATTGTTGTAGGGTTGCTTTGGCAGGTAGTTGGAATAGACTCGGTTGTGATAGACAACGTGTGGTACTTATTATGGTGTTTTTTATGATGATTGACATCAACAGTAAAGTTTAAAAATGGCATGTGAGGGGTCAGTAGGTGTGAAGGGTCAACAACTCGGTACCCGTACTGGGTCACTCACTACCCACGTGTGTAGTATGTGTAGTCACCCACTCGCCTCCTTCACTCACTCCTTGTGTCTGATATTTGCAAGTTTGTCTGTAATATACACTCGTGTCTTCAGCAAAGTACACGCTGAGAGTCATGACTGCCTTGATGTTTGTGAAAGATTATATGAGGAATTGCATTTACAAATGATACACGTTGTGTAATTTGTGGCGCGAGTGACGTACAGTGAGACTAATGTTTTGGTGTGCTGGACAGATGGACTCGAGTACGTGTCTGGAGCTGGCCCTGGAGGGTGAGCGGCTCTGCAAGGCTGGCGACTGCCGGGCCGGCGTGGCCTTCTTCGAGGCGGCCATACAGACAGGCACGGACGACCTGCGCACCCTCTCGGCCATCTACTCCCAGCTTGGCAACGCTTACTTCTACCTGGGGGAGTACGACAAGGCCATGGAGTACCACAAGCTGGACCTCACCGTCGCTAGGTCAGTACCCTACTCTTCTGCAGTGCTTGGCCGTCTTCTTGTTGGAGGACAGGTACCACCTCGCTCTTGAAGTAGTGAGCCATGTCGTGTGTGTGTGTGTGTGTGTGTGTGTGTGTGTGTGTGTGTGTGTGTGTGTGTGTGTGTGTGTGTGTGTGTGTGTGTGTGTGTGTGTTGAAAACGTTACATGTTCTATAGTTCTTGTCCGTACTGTAGTACGCTTACTCTCCCTTCCTCAACTCTGTTCCTGATTCCTCTATATCCCTGTTTCCCCCTTCCCCTCTGTCCCTGTTCCACCTCTACCGTGTTTCCCACTTCCCTCTGTCCCTGTTTCCCCACTATCCCTATCCCCTCCCCTCTCTGCCCGTTGTCCCCTCCCCCCCCCCTCTGCTCGTTGTCCCCTCCCCCCCCCTCTGCTCGTTGTCCCCTTCCCCCCCCCCCTCTGCTCGTTGTCCCCTTCCCCCCCCTCTGACCGTTGTCCCCTCCCCCCCCCCTCTGACCGTTGTCCCCTCCCCCCCCCCCCTGACCGTTGTCCCCTGCCCCCCTCTGTCCCCCCCCCCTCTGACCGTTGTCCCCTCCCCCCCCCCTCTGACCGTTGTCCCCTCCCCCCCCCCCTCTGCCCGTTGTCCCCTCCCCCCCCTCTGACCGTTGTCCCCTCCCCCCCCTCTGACCGTTGTCCCCTCCCCCCCTCTGACCGTTGTCCCCTCCCCCCCTCTGACCGTTGTCCCCTGCCCCCCCCCTCTGACCGTTGTCCCCTGCCCCCTCTGTCCGTTGTCCCCTGCCCCCCCCTCTGTCCGTTGTCCCCTGCCCCCCCTCTGTCCGTTGTCCCCTGCCCCCCTCTGTCCGTTGTCCCCTGCCCCCCTCTGTCCGTTGTCCCCTGCCCCCCTCTGTCCGTTGTCCCCTGCCCCCCTCTGTCCGTTGTCCCCTGCCCCCCTCTGTCCGTTGTCCCCTGCCCCCCTCTGTCCGTTGTCCCCTGCCCCCCTCTGTCCGTTGTCCCCTGCCCCCCTCTGTCCGTTGTCCCCTGCCCCCCTCTGTCCGTTGTCCCCTGCCCCCCTCTGTCCGTTGTCCCCTGCCCCCTCTGTCCGTTGTCCCCTGCCCCCCTCTGTCCGTTGTCCCCTGCCCCACTCTGCCCCCGTTTCCCCCTCCCTCCTTTGTCGCTGTTTTCCCGCCCTGTTCTGTTCCCGTTTCCCACTCTCCCCTCCCCTTGTTCTTGTTTCCCACTCCCCCTCAGTTCTTGTTTCCTACTCCCCCCCCCCCACCTTTCTCTATGAACCTTGTCATTCATGTCCCCCTCCCCTACACACCCCCCCCCCCCGTGGCATTGTCCCTTCTCTTTCGTCTGTATTCCCCCTCCACCTTCTGCACTTGGCTTCCCCTCTCTGCCCCCCTTCCGTCCTTTTCCTCCCCCTCTCTGCCCCCCCTTCCGTCCTTTTCCTCCCCCCCCCATATCTTTACTTTCCCACCCGTCTATCCCTGTCTTTTTCTTCCCCCCCCCCCTTTGTCCCTGTTTTCCTGCCTTCCTCCCTCTGCTGTCCATCTTCCTCCTTCCTCCCCACCACTGTCCCCGTTTTTTTCTTCCTCTCTTCTGTTTGTCTCCTCCCTCTGTCTGCATCTTCCCCTTCCCTTTCTGTCAGTCTTTCCCCCTCCCTCTGTCCCCATCTTCCCCACCTGCCTCCCCCATCTCCTCTGCCTCCCCATCTCTCCTGCCTCCCCGGCTCTTCCCCTGCCTCCCCATCTCTCCCCTGCCTCCCCATCTCCTCCCCTGCCTCCCCATCTCTTCCCTTCCTCCCATCTCTTTCCCTTCCTCCCCATCTCTTCCCCTTCCTCCCCATCTCTTCCCCTTCCTCCCCATCTCTTTCCCTTCCTCCCCATCTTCCTACTCCCTCTCCCTTCTGTCCTTCTCTTCCCCTCCCTCCCCCTATCAGTACTTCAGGGTAGAAACATCCTTTTTACCCCCAACATTTTATTTTGGTGTGCAATATATTACATGAACATTTGTGTATATTAACAAATTTTAGTTAAAGAATGAGATTTGATCCCTGACAATTAATCTTGTTTTTACTGTATGGCCAAGACTGTGTTCTTATGTATTTTTCCATTGAAGTAGCATATGCTGAATATAGAGTACCTATCCTTTTCTTTGATTTTGCAGGACGATGGGTGATCGCCTGGGTGTGGCCAAGGCATCTGGCAACCTTGGCAACACATTGAAAGTGATGGGCAAGTTCAAGGAGGCTATATGTTGCTGTGAGCGACACCTCTCCATCTCCCAGGAGCTCGAAGACAAGGTGCAGATAGCCGATACTTCTGCTTCGTTGACCCTTTGTTATTGAATATGTTAATTTAAAGCTCCCACTTTGTATCCCACTTTATCCCACTTTGTAAGATAACCCTGGGTTATGCTCCCTAAGTAGTGACCTTTGTTGTTGGTGGTGACCAATGAGGCATTACAAGAACAAAAATATGAATTGCAGCTTCGTGTCATCCTTTGGGGACAATACATGAAATTGCCTTGTTAATCACTGGAAAAAAATAGTTATGATAAAGTCTTTAAATGGGCAATGGAATACATATAGCATTCAACAGTGATAAATTCCAGCAACTTTGATATGATGAATAAAAGCAAAGAATTTCAACTGAATACAGGATTACAAGATGCAATCAAATATCATAAACAGAAACTACATGTAAATAATTTAGGAATAATTATATCAAATTACCTAACATTTAGTGAGCATAACACGGCAAACTTAAAATTTGCCAGGAAAATGAGATGGTCAATTATGATAATCTTCTAATCCAAGAATGCCATCACAATGCTGCATCTCTTCAAATCTCTTTGCTTTCTTATTGAATATGGCTTAGTACTAAGAGGGATATTACCTAATATATATACAGGACAGTGCATGGAAGATACTCTTAAGGTAGAATTCCAAGTACCTGTACTGTATGCATAACAAAATGGCTTACTGGAAGGACATGAAGAAATGCAGAATAGATCCAGTGAAGAGAAGAGTAATAAACACAGAACTCTGTATAAACATCAGAACCCCATAATTTTTCAGCCTCCTGCCATTAAAAGTAAGAAATATTGCCGGAACAGAAGCAGAAATTTTCAAGAGGCAATTGGACAAGTACTTGAAGGAAATGCAGGATCAGCCAGGTTGTAATGGATATGTGGGTCTGTGGGCTACTGCTAGCAATAGCCTCACAATAAAGTTATTACCAGATAAGCCTAGCTCTCAGTCGAGCTTGAAGAGTGGAAGTACAGTACTCTCAAGACTGACTTAAAGTAAATTGTAGGTAAATAGACTGCCCAGTGGCTGTGCTGCCCTGGTATCTCCATATCTTCTCAGCACTCTTATGCTGGTGCTCTCTTCATTAACCCATATAGTTTGGCCCTTCTTTGTTGGAAGACTTGCCTCTTGCCGCTGCTGCATCTGATGGTCAGTCGTTAGTTTACCATCATGGCTATGATCTTGGGATGTTTGTGATGCTCAACTCCTCTGATATTCTGCTTCTCATTTTTGAATGAGGTTTTGGAGGTAAGATTGGACCTAACCATTATCTGTCCTTGTGGCCCTTGCTCCTTATAGCTGCTGCTTGATAAAAGTTCCCTATTTCTTGTGAATTTATCTTGTGCTGTGCCAAACAAAGGGTCCCAGCCCAGAATAAAGACATCAACTGAAATTGAATGATCCTATCTGAGCTGATACGTTGGTTGCTCTGTAACGTATTGGAAATAGAAAAAGAAAGATAAAAACATATAGAGGAAGAAAAGTGGTTAGGTGAAAGGGAAAGTATAGAATAAGAGGAAATGGGATGGGGGGTAGACTTAGAGAGGAGGAGGAAAGAGGAGGCTGAGGAAGATGAGTGGAAAGAGTTAAGATATAGTTAGAAATAGAATTGATAGAAAAGTAGGAGGATGAAGAGATAGGAGGTTAAAGGGGAAGTAGGAAAAAAGGAAGAAGGAAACTCTCCTCAATTTTGTGCTTTTTTACTTCCTCCTCCTGCAGCTCTTCTATCCCAGATCGTTGCTTCAGAGACGCTGCCTTCTCGTTGAGCCCTTGGCGACAATCTCCATTGTTTACATTGCAAACACTACTGAGCACATGGCTGTTTGTTGTTGGCCCTCCACATGTCTCCATTATTTTTTCATTTCTTAGTTCTGCTTATTACAACTTTTTTGTTTTTTATTGTTTGAACTTTTATTTTTAAGTTAGCTAAGATACAGGATGAGAGAGAAGCTCATGGTGTCTCATCTTCCCAATAATCTTTGTCTTATACTTTGAAGCTTCCAGTGGTTTTGGCATACACTACCCTCTCATTTAATTAATTTTATTTGTCTATCATTCCTCAAAAGATAATTCTCACATTTTTTTGGGCACCTTTGTTGTCTTGGCTTCAATTTGTCAATTTGCATAAAAATTGTGATGGTGGTGGTGGTTATATCACCTCTTTTTTTTCTTCTTCTTTCTACTAGTTTGATATATTTAATGCTTCAAGCATCTCCTTATAGCTCTTGTGTTTTGGGTGACATCCATTTAATAGTATGGATTTGCACTTTTTTTATAATTTATTTACATACTTTTTGAGGTATGAGTACCTGGTTGATGGGGTTCTGGGAGTTCTTCTACTCCCCCAAGCCCGGCCCGAGGCCAGGCTTGACTTGTGAGAGTTTGGTCCACTAGGCTGTTGATTGGAGTGGCCCGAAGGCCCACATACCCACCACAGCCCGGTTGGTCCGGCACTCCTTGGAGGAAACAATCTAGGTTCCTCTTGAAGATGTCCACTGTTGTTCCAGCAATATTTCTTATGTTCGCTGGAAGGGTGTTGAACAACCGTGGACCTCTGATGTTCATACAGTGTTCTCTGATTGTGCCTATGGCACCTCTGCTCTACACTGGTTCTATTCTGCATTTTCTTCCATATCGTTCACTCCAGTACATTGTTATTTTACTGTGTAGATTTGGGACCTGGCCCTCCAGTATTTGCCATGTGTATATTATTTGGTATCTCTCTTGTCTCCTTTCCATGCAACTGCTATACATATGCATGTACCATGCAACTGGTACCATGCAACTGCTGCATATTATAATTTTGTTCTTATGTATGTTGTGAGCAATTTTATGAGCATTTTTCCATCCGTGTACTGTATTTAAAGGCAGTTCTCAAATTGGCCAGAGTAGTGGTAGGCTCCTCTTGCTGTGTGTTTGATGTGATCCTCTGGTGAAAATTCATTGTCCAGGATCGCTCCTAAATTTCTTTCCTTATTCAAATTCTTCATAGTCTTTTCACCTAAATTATAATCTGAATATGACCTGGTTTCATTCATTCTGTACTCCATGAAGTGGTATTTATCCACATTAACTCTGCCATTTATTGCTCTATGCTTACTTTGTCTGTCATCATTGTGAAGGTTAGGTTATGAGGGTTGTTTAGGACTTAGTCTTCCCAGTAGCATATTGTCATCCACAAACATGCTCATTATGATTGTATCCTTTCAGGTAAATAAATTTATATATTAAATGAACATTACTGTGTTATGTATATGCTGTGGTTTTTTGCAGTTGCATTTAAAATTAATTTGTTTGCATGGTTGGTTAGATAATTCAGATTTTTTCTGTATTTTTCATTTAATTATTGTCTTATCACTGAAAAGGTCGGTGAAGGTCGAGCTCTTTATAACTTGGGTAATGTCTACCATGCTCAAGGTAAACATCTTGGACGTATAGGACCTCAGGAACCTGGAGGATTCAGCGATGAAGTTAAACACTGTCTTCAGAAAGCCGTTGAGTATTATGCGTGAGTATTTTCATATTGCATTTTCTTGTACAGTATTATGTTGACTACTTCATTGTCTGTGGCACAGTACTTTGACTGACTGTACTAGTTATCTGTATCCATGATATAATTACCTATTTTGCAGCCTTTTCAGTCAAATACATTTAGTAATCCTCATTTTTTTCTGCCTTTTCTCTTATCAAAGAGCCTAGTTAGTTACCAAAGATTTTTTTTACATTTTTTCAACACGACTGATATATTTTTAATGTTTTCCAGTGCTAACCTGCGTCTGATGGAGGAACTTAATGATCGGTCGGCTCAGGGACGGGCTTGTGGAAATCTTGGGAACACGCATTACCTTCTGGGAAACTTCACTCAAGCTATTAGCTACCACAATGAGGTGAAACACACATCAAATGTACTCACAAATGACTTAAGTGCTGTGGATATTATGAATGCTAATCTTGAACCTGTAAGTTAGTTTATACTGTATTGTTAATTGCACCCAAATAGTATAACTGGATAACAGAATAGAGTGCAAAATTAGCTCTCTATTGGAACGTAATGCCATAGTATACAAAAGCTAATTCTAGTTTTGGTAGAAATGCATCAAATATTCTATCATGTGAACTGGTTGGGTGTACCAGTCTATACAGTGTTCTTTTGCTTTGCACAGGTTGTTTCCAATGAGTCACACATTTCCTAAGGATAAAACATGAGTCATTTAACATTTTAGCGTTCTAACTCGTCACCACAAGCCCGACTGTAAATGTTCCGAGCCTCTAATCCTTCAGTACTGCTTTTAGGGAATCCCAATAGTTTGTGTTTCATTAATTCTATGTGGGCATTACAAGATCTTTGTACAGTATATTTTTAAGCTCTGCTATCTTGCTTGCCTTGAAAGGGAATGAGAGGGCTGAAGAATTTTACTTTTAAGAGATACCACCAGTACTCTGAAATGTACCCTCATTGTTAACTACGCTATAATTTTCCCGGCTGTTGATTTTTGGGCTTTTCAATGTTAGGTCTTTTAACATTATTTTGCGATCTTTGACTTTGTCATTCCTTTCTACAAGGAGCTCTCACTCTTATAACCTGTACACCTTCTTAGGTTTAAGCTTTTCCTGTACTGAAGTGCTGTTACTGGAATTTGCCATTGATGATAGTTGTTTTTTAACTCAAATATTACGAATTTGAGTTTGTTTTACATTACTAATTTGTACTGTCCTGTAATCATAAAATAAAATGAGTAATTTTTTTATATTTTTACAGAGATTAGCTATTGCAAAGGAGTTTGGTGATAAGGCTGCAGAGAGAAGAGCACACAGTAACTTAGGAAATGCTCATATATTCCTTGGAGAATTTGAAACAGCAGCCGAGCATTATAAGTGAGTATTATTTTAGTACCTGTACAGTGTATAAAGTAAAGTATGAAGTAAATCTAATGTGTGGATAAGTGTGTGAGTGTACTGTACTTTATATATAATATATATAAATCATATTGTATAAAATAATAAAGTATGGGTGATAGGAATTGAAAATACAGGTACAGTACTGACTTGTTCAGAGAGAATTTAAAAAGTCTTCTCTGAATACCTTTTAGTCTCTTCTCCAAGACTATGGGTCCCTACAATTGCACCAAAGGTGGTACCTTTTATTTTATATATACTCAGGACTGTAGTGTATGTAGTGTAAATTTGCTTGAACGAATTGCGGGGTGAAACCAATTTATTGTATCGGGGGATTTTATTCAAACCTGTGAGGCCCCTGGTTTAAAAAAAAATCTTTTGCAATGGTCTACATCCATTGACTCATATTCAGGTTTGTTGCTTACCTTACAAGGAGAGTAGTGTAATAAAATATCTTCATAATAACCCTAAAACACACTTAGGTAAGTGCAAGCCCCTTACTTCCCATCCACATTTCAACACTAGATTAAAAAAACATAAAATAATAATTTATTATGTAATTTTCATTTTAACTGTTCCATTGGATAGAAGTCATTGACTAACAATTCCATATCAAAATTGTATTTTATCTTCAAAGCATTGGAAAATATCATGGGCACATGCCGAACGCATCATGCTACCTTACATATTATTATAAAATTAATATAAAATCTGCTCTAAATGCTGTCTGTTACTGGCTTTGCAAGAATGTAAGAACACCCGTGTACCCTCACAAAACCAATGTACCTTTTTGTGTATAAATAAAATCATAATGGGCAGTGGTTCCCAACAAGCATGAGTAAATGGTCACTAGTCATGGATACATCGGAGGGAGCCAAAATGTCTCATTTTTTAAGGGTGGAACACCTCTATATTGGATTTATATCTATTCCCCCCCCATTACTACCTGCCTTATAGTGTGCAGATGTGTGACATGGTATTTGTTTCTAGTAGGCAGAGATTATCAAAGAAGCTTGGCACATCCAATATGACCATAGGGCCCAGAGTGCCAATGCTGTTGTGCAAGTGGAGCTACTGAGGGGGGGGCTACCATGAAAGGCAACTACATGTTAACAAAACATGGGATTAGATGGTTGTTTCAATCTAATGTGAAACAATATGGCTAATTTGGAGTTAATGTGAATAAAATGTGGCTAATTATTTTGCATCTTACTCTTCATAATGGCTAACTGAAGATATGGTCTTATTAATAATGTTTGGAAGTCATGCTTGGCTTTATACACATTAAATTAGGTGCCATTTAGATAAGAATTCATTGCTTAGAAAGAAATACAAGAATATCTTTCTTTCAATTTAGCATACTATGTGGAAATATGTATTTTATTCAGTGATTTAAACTGTTCACCATCTTATAGTGGTGCAAATAGAGGTAAAATAGATATATTAGGATGTCTAATAAAATTCTAGAAATTTGTTTAAATTTTATAATTAACGATCATCTCTATGCAACTCATTGATAAGTTAGTTATAAGATTTATATCTTTGCAGAAAAACCTTACAGTTAGCCCAAGAGCTGGGTGACCGTGCAGTGGAGGCCCAGGCATGTTACTCACTTGGCAACACTTATACACTTCTGCGGGACTATCCTATGGCCATCCACTATCATTTACGTCATTTAGCTATAGCAGAAGAATTGACCGATAAAGTTGGTGAAGGACGAGCTTGCTGGAGTTTGGGAAATGCTTACTCAGCCACAAATAATAATGAGAAGGCTCTTCATTATGCTACTAGACATTTAGAAATTTCTAAAGAGGTAAGACATCTTGTAATGTACATAGCACAATAAATTCCATAGATAAGATTGTCACTTGAAATCCCAAAGCACCCAGACTTGCATTAAAGTTAAATTTTGTAATTACATTTGTATACTGTAAAGAATTGCATAGTATTGAACTGGAAAAAATCTACATGTAATATTCTTATTAATAATCTTTTGAAAGTTTGCCATAAACCACCGGCAGATTGGAGACAAGACTGGTCAGGCCGCAGCACAGATGAACCTAACTGATATCCGGAAACTTCTGGGTCTTCCTCCAACTCCAGTTGATTCAGAATTATCTGAATCTGCCGAAGATGTCAAGTCAAGAACTCGGAGGAAGTCCATGGAAAATATGGATCTTCTCAAGGTAGTTCTGTCGTTCTTGAGAATAGCTTTATAAAATTTGCTTAATATGAACATACAGTACATGTCTTAGCTTTAAAATTATTTTTCTGAAATTTTAAATGTTGACAGTGGAGATGATGATCCGTAAAACTTTGATATGAAAACTTGAGTTACTCCAGTATCTTTATTATGTAAACTTGAAGTTACTATTGTTGCCCATAGTTGGATGAAATAAATGACGTGCATTAGTCTGTTATCATGAATTTAATTTTTGCTCTACATTGTTGTTATTGTTTCTTTTATTTATAAAAGTAAATTTGTTTTATAAGCAAATGTGTCTAATACTTTATATGATTTATCAATTTTCTGTTGATTTTTCAATTGGTATAGAAAGATTTGGTCCCGAATCCACCTTTATTTTGCCTTCCTTTATGTTAACTTGGCACAAGATGTGTGTGCTTAACCTGTATAGTGATTTTGAACATTAAAAAATCACTGTTAACTTGACTTAATCATCATGATGCTCTGTAAATGCTTCATGTTTCATGAAGCTGCAAGAATGTGCATTGGGATGCATAAGTCAAAATTAAATGTGACATATTGTAAGTTATTATGGTATATTTCACATTTAATATACTGGAGTTAGGTTTATGGAAAATGGGGCATTATATAAAAACGTGCAATTTAAAATTAATAACACATGGGGAAAATAGGTTCATGTTCTCGGGCGTGACAAAGTTGTACATTACAAGCATGCTGTACTGTACTGATTTCAATGATATGGTATGATGAAAAGGGGTTGGTGTGTGCGTGTGTACTCACCCATGGTTCAACCAGGAATGGGCCTGAAGAACAGGACTTGGTGTGGTGTGTACAAACACACCACACCACAAAAGTTAGAACAGGAGTGTGTGTGTGTGTGTGTGTGTGTGTGTGTGTGTGTGTGTGTGTGTGTGTGTAAATACCCGAGAGTAGTATGAGGATGGGAGCAGTGCTGGTGTTCTGCCTTCCCAGTATTATTTGTCATAGAATAATTTGAAATTACCGATGATTTTGGGATCCACCACCTGTTCACTTGTTCCAGCCTTGTACACCTCTCTGCAAAAGAGAACTCTTATATTTTTTGGCAGCTTTGTTTCCTTAGCTTCTTATCTATGACTAATTGTTTTTGAAGTTACAGGTTTCAAAAATTACTGTTGCTGATTTTTTGTTATTGCATGTTGTGATCATATTCCCTTTTTTACATCTATCATTCAGTCTTGGCATGTTTAATGCCTCCAGTCACTACTCATAGCTCATGTTCTTAAAATTCAGGAGGCATTTAGTAGCATGTCTTTGCACCCTGTATAATTTATTCATGTGCTTCTTGTGATATGGGCACCACACCATTGCTGCATGCTCCAATTTTGGTCTCACAAATTGAGTGAGCATTGTCCATCACAAGAAGGGCCTTCAGAAGCAATTGTTTCCTCATGAGGTATTCCTTGACACTAGGACCAAACACTTCATTAACCCACTCAACAAAAAATTGCCTGGTTACCCAAGCTCTGGTGTTAGCCCTCCATGTCACTTGTAACTTTCTTTTCAGTGCGTTGTTTTTCTTAAACATCCTTGGGTTCTCTGAGTGATAGACTAGCAAAGGTTTCAGTTTAAAATTCCTGCTTGCATTTGCATTCCCACACAACAAAAAAAAAGTCAGTCTGTCCTTCATTGACTTGTGTCCTGATAATGACTCCTCCTCTTGAGTGATATAGGTCCTCTTTGGAATCACTTTCCAGAACAAGCCTGTCTCATCACAGTTGAACACTTGTGGGGAATTAAAACAATCAGCCTCTACAGTCACCAACTCGATAACAAATTTCTCAGCAGCATCTTTGTTAGAACTGGCAGCCTCCCCGTGGCTTGCCACACTATGAAGACCACTTCTCTTAAATTTCTCAAGCCACCTATGACTGGTTTTGAACACTTCAATATTGGCACTTGTTCCAGGTTTTTTTGTAAGAGATGACTATACAGTTGTTTTGCTTTTTCACGAATAATGATCTCGGACATACTGTCACCAGCCAACTGTTGGTCATTTATCCATATCAACTACAATTTCTCAACCTCTTCAGTTTTCTGCTATCATGGTTCTAGTTAATTTTCTTTTCCTTTGGCTCGTATCACAAACTTTCTCAGGTGCCATGGTGAATTATTTATTCTAAGATTATAACAAATATTCAGGGAAACATGAGAAAGTTTACAGAGAAGTTTAATGGGGTTGTGCAATGAACGACAGCTGCAGGGAAAACTGGCTCGTATATTACACACGTTTACATTCGTGTGCTGAGTAAACGTTCGATACCGAGTGTTTTAATTCTCTAATAATGTTTGAGTGCCGAATTATTTGAGTTAGGAGCTGTTCAAGTGCTGAGGTACTAGTCTAGATATACTATAACCATATTTTACAGCACGTGTATAAAAGTGGGCAATAATAAAAAAATTTGCCTCGGTACTAACATGGCAACCATGAGTAATGCAGGCATCAGCAGCTCACACCACCACCATGTAACTTATGCCCACAGCATCACTTAATGATGCTGAAATAGATTAGTAACTCCCATTATTTATCAATGATAGTGACACAGACAGGAGAGATCTGAAAAACCACTCTTTGCATGAACACTTTCAAATTGTTAACATATGGTTTTGCACATTTTTCTTTCTATTTCCTTGAATTTGTTGATTGATCCTCATCTCTGGATTTTATATTTCACATGTAGTTATTTTTAATGATTTTTCTAAAATGGGCTGAGACAAATGTTTTCATTTGTCTGCTGTCCATGTCTCAAATTTTCTTTCGTCCTTCTTTGACTACCATGTAGTCATTTTGGGTTTGTATTTCTTGTGTGATTGTAGGTTTGGACTCTTATATTCCATTTCTTTTCTTTTTGGTATCTATGGCTCTTGTACAATTTTTATTGAAATTTACAGTTTCAAGTTCTGCATCTGTATTACATTTACATCCTGCAAACCTTCCCGATCAAATTAATTTATAAAGCTGTAGAGAGAGTTGACAAATTTTTGAGCGTCCTTCAAACAGTAATGGATATTGTGATCAACGTTGCTTTACTTAACACACACTAATGAGTATCTGCAGGTGATGAGTCATAATAACATGGCTGAAGTATGTTGACCAGACCACACACTAGAAAGTGAAGGGACGACGACGTTTCGTCCGTCCTGGACCATTCTCAAGTTGACAATGAGTATATTAGCTGTATCTGATTTATATAGCTGTATTTCACTCTGGTTTTACATGTAGTAATACTAAATGATATTGATCATATTTAGTGAAGAGTATATTTAGTATTTTTTATTTACTTTACTAAATAAAAAGTGTACTTTTTTTTTAGTAAACAAAATGCAACCTGGGATCAATGTAAAAGTTTGAATCTCTTATTCACATAACTAAAGCGATTAAACATATCCGCTTACATTCAGTGTATCCTGTTTTGTTCAATTTATCTCCTTGCTGCAGATTACAAAAAACTATTTCCTTTTCAATGATAAAATTTGTTGATGACACAAGTAAACACTCATCACGTGCAGCTTAGACTCTTCCTCACATTGGCAGGGTTTACAGGCTCTTAGGTAAGATTATCATCATTTGTTTTGCACTTGACCATGTCCTCTGTGTATGTCCTACCCACAGTATTGTAATCTGTTGATCTACCATCTCTCAAAATTGGGATTGGTGCCACAGCATCCAGAGAATTAAGTTGTCACCAAACAACCCTAGCCCCAAGTCAGGCTTGGAGAGTAGAACTCTCAAAACAGGCTACAGATAAACTACAGATAGACCCTGTGTAACTTATCAGTAAAGACCACCTGTACCTTCTGTACCTCAGGGCACAGTCATTGCACTACTGCTTTTCTTTCTTGTATCAGATAGACAAATATACAAGTCACAGCTTCATGTCATATATTGCAGATGAAACAAAAATCAGCATGAAATTTACTGGTGTAGAAGACATTGAAAAACTACAAAATTACTAAAGTTGTTGATTGGGCAGCAGAAAATAACACGATTTAACGGTGATAAATTCCAGGTACTGTACTGTGCTTAGGTATGGTAAAAATATATACCTTAAAGTACAGGGTGCAAAACACAATCTGCCTATTGTAGGAAAGCAACATGTAAAGGATCTAGGAATAATGATGTCAGATGACTTAATATTTAGGGAGCATAACCAAGCAAATATAGCCTTGGCTAGAAAATTATAGGATGGATTATGAGACCCTTCAAATCTAGGAATCCCATCGCAGTGCTCATACTATTCAAATCACTGCTGCTGCCCTGCATTGAATACTGCTCGATGCTCACCTTCCCCTTCAGAGCAGGAGAGATTGTTGAAATAGAAGGAACAGAAAACACGTATGGCATGCATAGACACGATAAAGCACCTGGATCATTATTGGGATCATCTCAAAGCTCTCAAAATGTACTCTCTAGAAAGGAGATGAGAGAGGTATCAAAAAATATATACAGTACATGGAAAATACTGAAGGGCAAGGTCCCAAGTTTGCACAGTATAACAGCAACATACTGGAGTGAATGATATGGAAGGAAATGCATAGAGCCATTGAAGAGCAGGGGTGCCATAGGCATAATCAGAGAATGCTGTATGAACATTAGAGGTCCACAGTCATTAAGTATTCTCCTAGCAAGTATAAGAAATATTGCCAGAACAAAAGTTTTTTCTTCAAGAAAAAACTGGACAGTTTTCTACAAGAAGTGCTGGACCAACCAGGCTGTAATGGATATATGGCCCTGCAAGCTACTCCAAGCAACAGTCTATTGGACCAAGCTCTCACAAGTCAAGTCTGGCCCGGGGACGGGCTTGGGGAGTAGAGGAACTCCCAGATCATCATCCCGGTATAATCCAGGTAAAGTCTAAACCCTACAAACACCTACCAACTTGAGGCATGGCTTGTGGTCCACCACCAAGAGGAACTTGACAACTTAAGCACTGAGAAAGGGAGTTTCCACAACCAAGTACTGCTTGGCAGAGCTGGTGCATACAAAACAACAATTGTCTCAAAGGCAGCACCCTATTTATAAATATTAAATCCTGAGTCAGCTTCCTTCCAGCCATTTTCCCAGTGAAAAAAATAAATAAATGCCTGCCATGAGAAAAGTGGAACCTCATAATGTAGCCAAAACAGAAAAGATGACAATACAGTACTCAAAAGAGTGTGGATCTATTTTTCCAAACCAAAGCAAGTCTACCATCACCAGAACTGGGACATGACAAGACATCGGATGCCTGTGGAATGATCGTGATTCCAGGTCGTCTACCAAGACCCAAGAATGCACTTTGGTGAACCGCTTCGCTTCCTCACGAGTACTCGCTTTGGCAGTACATATACTAAAATTGGAACGATGCAGAGAACTTTAGCATGGCCCCTGCGCAAGGATGACACGCAAAATCGTGAAGCGTTCCACGTTTTTTTATTAGGGAGCCGGTCGGCCGAGCGGACATCACACTGGACTTGTGATCCTGTGATCCCGGGTTCGATCCCGGGCGCCAGCGAGAAACAATGGGCAGAGTTTCTTTCACCCTATGCCCCTGTTACCTAGCAGTAAAATAGGTACCTGGGTGTTAGTCAGCTGTCACGGGCTGCTTCCTGGGGGTGGAGGCCTGGTCGAGGACCGGGCCGCGAGGACACTAAAGTCCCGAAATCATCTCAAGATAATCTCAAGAACCGGAGGCAGAATGAAGCTCAAACTTCGATGTATATAGGATTACAAATCTTTCCAATCGGTTACCTGCTTTGGAGTACTGGCATGCTTTCTCGTAGATTTTCCTTGGTTCTCGGGGAATTTCTGACCCCAGGCTCCCTTAGGTCTCTTTTGGGGTGGGGGGTGGGGGGGAGGCAGATTCAATTCCTGGTCCCAACTGTCTGATAATATTAGGATAATAATATATATCCTAAAATTATCAGACACAGTGTGCTCTCGACAACCAGAGTGCAACTCCATAGTCTTCAGAGACTGCTGGATGCCTACTACTACTAATATATTTTCACTCGTGTAAACATTTTACAAGTTTGAAAGTTTAGAGGTAATAGGTAGGTAGACTGTGGCCAAAATCATACCCAAATTTGTGTGCACCGCACTTCGTTGCACAATAATTAAGCAAACTTGTGTAAATTTGAATGAAAATGTTTGCAATACAAGTAGAGATTTGCCAAACCAAAGCTCCACTGTGCTGTATTTATATAATATTGTAATTTTTTTTTTTTACTTAAAAATATGTTGTTTAAATACAATATTATTTGTGTGCAAATATGAGGAAAGAGTGAGTTATCATTTGCAGAAGAAAACTGCAGTAAAGAGCAAAAAAATGTGAAAAACCTTGATATACAACAAAAATCTAGAGAGTATGGAATGGGTCCGGATCCATGTGATCTATTATATTGAGCCTAGATACGTTTGTTGGGATGAGCTCAGCTCGTGTGTGTGTGTGTGTGTGTGTGAATATTTGTGAGTGTATGCATGCATGTATGTAATATATTATACTCTATATACACATACTCTGTATTGATTAAAATAAAATATATTCAGGTAACACTAAATTATAACAATTGTACTCAAGAGAAGCAGTAAAATTAATTTATCTATAGTGTGTGGTTAGTTTGTGGCATTACAGGTCTCTTGTCAGTATTAGCATCCTGCATTTCAAATTTGCATTTTCTTTTGATTTTGATTTGCACTAGTAATGTGTAAAGCTACATTGTGATTGGGCTATTATTAGTATCTGATTGATATTTTCATCGCAATACGAATTAATAAAAGATACTTCCACTTAATTAGTATTGCAGATTATTGTAAATTACTATTTATTGAGTGTGTAACTAGATATTTGTAACTTAGTGCAAGCTTGTCTGTGTACTTTAAACCCGTCTTATAATATCACTATTACTTCTGGGTTACACTGCTAAATGATGGGTTTCTTTGCAAGTATTTTCGTTCATTGATTAAGGGAGTCCTTGCGGACATTTCAGATGACGCCCGATGCTAAAGGCGTACTTCGGAAATACCAGAGTGAAGACGCTGGTATTGGCTCACTGTCCTCTGATGACTCCCATCCCGTAAATGGCCCCTCCTTCAACACTAGTTCTCATGCTGATAAAAATGTGCGTGTCATCTCTTTTCATCTACCAGCTTTACAAAACACCATACAAATACATTTTTTACATTAAATTTGTCGGTTACAGTACAGTATATAGATTATGCACTCTATATGTTTTGCACCTTTTAAAAGAAGCTTATTAAGTGCTGTATATTAGTTTAATTGCCTGGTTTTGCACTAACTCAACCTACAAAATTGCTTCTATAGCTTTTTAAAGCATACATGTATTTGCTAATTATAGTGAAGTAAACTGCTTTTGCCCCTAGTACTGTATAGGTCTTGCTGTGTATAGTTATATTAATCCCTTTGCTGCAATATGCAACGTCAGTTAAATGACAAAAACGTTTGTCACTGCAATGTATTCTTCTTTTTTTGGGGTGTAGGGGGGGGGGGGGGGAGGGGAGAGGATGAAATCAATTTAGTTTCTTGGTGAGTATGTTTATTTCTTGTTAATAATATTCAATACATTGGGAACATCTATTGGGTTACTTGACCATTTTTTCTATTAAAAAGCTATTTTCAACGTTGGCTTGTTTTTAATTATTTATAGTATTATTTAAAACATTTTTAATTGTCGGTCTTCGTGGGAAGAATGCACCCTTTTGAATGTAATACAAATGAAGAAAACCAGAGACTCGACCTCCTAAAAAAAATATATACTGTTTATATTAATATAATATATTTTTGTTATTTTTGGTCTAAATTAGCCCAATAAAAGTATTTAGCAGAATTTTAAGTACTATAGCAAAAGGGTTAAATTTAATGCTTTCCTATATTATGCAACATCCAGAAAAATAAAAGTAAAATTGTTCTTTTTTCTTTCATGCATATCATATGCTACGATTCTTATGTCTTTAAGTTACAAAAAAAGTTATAAAAACTTGTCAGCAGTGTGAGAAACTTTACATTGCATCTTACTGCATGGAAATGAAAGAGCCATATCCATATAAGTAGGATTCCATGATGCTTTGTTCTTGGACTCCTGCATTTTGATCAGATGGGCAGCACAGATAATAGAAATATCTGTATGGTAAAGGATTATGGAGAAGAGTAATAAAATAAGCAACACTACACAATAGAACTCAACTCAAAAATGGCTGAATATTTTTAGAAAGTATTTGGAATATTGTAACAAAATAGTTATCAGCGTGATGTGTAAATTGGGATTAACCAAAGTGCCCAGGTAATTACCCAAGTGTAGTTACAGAATGAAAGCTATGCTTGTGGTGTCCCATCTTCCCAATACATACTCTGTCACATGACACTTTAAAACTACAGTACTGACAGTTTTGACATCCGCCACCTTCTTGCTTAAATTGTTCCAACCATCTACCAGCGGTGTGTCCACTCACAGGATGAGTGCCGCTACCCAATACTGTCACTATGGTGGTGTGTCCACTCACAGGATGAGTGGCGTTGCCCACTGCTGTCAATATGGCGGTGTGTTAGGAGAGGAAACGGACAGTGAAAAAGAGAGAGGGGGGATAGATTTATGAAGGGGAAAGAGAGAGAGAGAGAGAGAGAGAGAGACCCCTGGTCCAGCTAGGTACCCCCATCTACTATATTTATTTAATAGTTGCACTGGGAAGGATCAACTTAAATTATTCCGGACAGTGATCGGAACTAGCAATCACGATTCAAGAGTCGTACCAATCAAGCCAAATGAGTCAAGTGGTGGTTGTAGGCAGAGTGAATTACACCAAATAGTAAATTAAATACTGTCCTGCAAAAAGTGAGCTTTCTGATGTTTTATCGGTAGCTTTGTTTCCTCAGTTTGAACCTATATTCTCTTGTCATGAAGTTGCAGTTTTCAAAAAATTTTCTTTGCCAGTTTTGTCAAGACCTGTTACTATTATGTACCAAGTGATCATATCTTTCTTTTTTTTCTATTATCTAGCTTTGGTACATTTAGCCCATCTAACCTCTCCTCATAGCTCTTGCTTTTCAGTTCATTTAGTTGCATGACTTTGCACCTTTAACAGTTTATTGATGTGCTTCTTGAGATATGGGGGTGTTTGTGCTGTTGTGTGAAAAATATGACTGGAGGGGTAGGGGCGGGAATCTTAAAGTACCGGGTATTTATAAAGATAAAGTGACAGGAAAATAAGGTTGCATGACTGAAGTGTCTAAAGTATTTTTTCAAGACTACATGTACATTATATTGGAATTGTTAGTGTAATGTGTAAAGAGTGTGAATAGGGTTATACAAAATCTAGAGAAGTAAAATGAGAAATTTCATGTGGAAAGCAGTTAAATGTGGCTTAAGGTGTTGTTCTGGCCAAGAGATAATAATTAAGAATCAGACTAAGAATATTCCTTCTTTAAGAGGTGTGCTCTTTGGTCCTGTTGGCCCACAGAGCACCATCCCCTCTGGTTTGAATGTCCTGAATCATTATTCCCTCATCCCTTCCACTTGCTAGTCATAATGGCTTAGTGCTTTCTCCTGATAATTACCTTGCCTATCTTATTGTTGGGAGAGTAGTCCAAACTTAGAGCCTAACCCAAAAGTTAGATAAATATTTATATAGAGCCTATAGCCACATTGTTATGGCTCCAGATAAATAATTTGCCAATTGATTCTCTCTTGACAATGGTATATCTCTACCTTAGATATAGTACTGTATATAATTATTCCATCCTACAAGTGATATTGGAAATTGCTGCTTGGCAAATACTGCTTTAAACACTAAGGAATTTACTTCTTTACTAGCCTGATGCACTCTTATTATTGAGTGAGCCTGATCCCATTCTTGACAGCTACTTCCTATTGGCTAACTAAGTTTGCATTACTTGTTAATAACTTGTAAAACATAATATGTGTGAAAGCAAAATTCTCAAACTTGTGCATGGAGTTCGGAAAGACATCAATGTTGGGAAGTGCAATCATGAACAGTAAACGTAAATTAATTTTATAATATTGTAAATAATAATATTACAATGATAATATATTGTAATATATAATATTCTATGTAAACAGCTACAAAGGTGTAGGTGAATGTAAAAGAATGATTGAGAGCATCAAGACAAAATGTGTGTTTAGTAAAAGGTGTTGCTTTTCTCCCACTGCCGCTCCAGTACCACCTGGAGTGTTACCTGTCTCCCAATGACAGTGAAACACCACCTAGGTGTCTTGCTATTTTACTTTCTCTTCATTGTTCTTTGAATATATATATTGCCCATCATATTTATTGTCTGTCCTCTTTTGCAATTACTAGTGAACATTTTGTGAATGAAAGGTGTATTCATCTATTTGTGCTTACGGGGGTTGAGCTCTGGCTCTTTGGTCGTGGTGTGGTTTGGTTGGCATGTGAGAGACATGACCAACATTCTTAACTGTTGGCTTGGTTTTCAATAATAAGAATCACCTTGATATCTTTGAAATATCTTCATATGTTGGTGTTCTGCTTTGCTTAATAATAATACTGTACTAATGATACCATAATACTGTAACATCAAATAATAATAATAACAACAACTACACACAGGAATCACAATAGCGTGATGCATCAAATGAACAAATCCACAAGGGATTTGCTCTGTCGATTAAGGCAGCGTCTTGGATCCTTTCGGACGTAGGTTCGAACCCTTGTCACAGCCCTTGTGGATTTGTTCAATAATAATAACTACTTTATTGCAGACTCATATCTATATTTTGTACATAAATACCTAATTCATTGACATAATGAATGTGTTATATGTAGTGGTACATTATTATCTGGCATAATATGTGTATACAATATATTTATATGCATAAATACACATACAGAAATACTAAGACATGAATATTCAATTCTAATGGTTATAACTACACAAACAAAATTGACTGTTACTATTGACATACCACAATCATCACATATGGTTATTTGTTTACCAGTTAAAACATTTTCATATCAGTATCAGGTCTTCTCAAACATGTAGCCTGTGTTTGGTTTATGGTGTTTATCCTAAGATGTGACTCGCATGTATAATGACGTCAGATAATTTACATTTTTACCTTTTCAGTACTGTAATTTTCATTTATTAGTTTTCATATATGTATCAAAAGCTTTGTAATTTTTGTATAATTTGTCTAAATTTGGCAAAAAAATATAATTAATGTTTTCTACTTCTTTTCTTTTTTAACCAGGCATCAGTTAATGAGGAATCTAGCATGGATGACGATAGTTTCTTTGAGCTTCTGTCCAGGTTCCAAAGCAAACGAATGGATGATCAGAGGTGTACACTCTCTATTGACAGTAACAAAGAAAATCAGCCAGAACAACCTCAGCAGCAGGTGCCAACTCGCAGGGAAGGGGGATCCCTCTCCTCCACTGGATCCACAAACGGTACAACGACACCGTCTGACAGTGGTGCAAGTACGTACTGTGCAGTACTCAACATGCAGTATATATATTTTTGCATTTACCTGGAACACTAGAATCCTATTATGTTTCAAGTATTTAGAATGAACAGCATTTAAAGATGATATTAAAACTTAATTTAAATTGCTTTAAAGTCATTTGTTTAGTATCATTAGACACTTCTGCTATATCTTTAAACATTTTTATCATCTTTTTGGATCATTCACATTGTGTGTGTGTACTCACCTATATGTACTCACCTATATGTGCTTGCAGGATCGAGCATTGACTCTTGGATCCCGCCTTTCTAGCTATCGGTTGTTTACAGCAATGACTCCTGTCCCATTTCCCTATCATACCTAGTTTTAAAAGTATGAATAGTATTTGCTTCCACAACCTGTTCCCCAAGTGCATTCCATTTTTCTACTACTCTCACGCTAAAAGAAAACTTCCTAACATCTCTGTGACTCATCTGAGTTTCCAGTTTCCACCCATGTCCCCTCGTTCTGTTATTATTACGTGTGAACATTTGATCTATTTCCACTTTGTCAATCCCCCTGAGTATTTTATATGTCCCTATCATATCTCCTCTCTCCCTTCTTTTCTCTAGTGTCGTAAGGTTCAGTTCCTTCAGCCGCTCTTCATATCCCATCCCTCGTAGCTCTGGGACAAGCCTCGTCGCAAACCTCTGAACCTTCTCCAGTTTCTTTGTGTTTCTTCAGGTGGGGGCTCCATGATGGCGCGGCATACTCTAAGACGGGTCTCACGTAGGCAGTGTAAAGCGCCCTAAAAGCTTCCTCATTTAGGTTTCTGAATGAAGTTCTAATTTTCGCCAGTGTAGAGTACGCTGCTGTCGTTATCCTATTTATATGTGCCTCAGGAGTTAGATTAGGTGTCACATCCACTCCCAGGTCTCTTTCTCGAATCGTTACAGGTAGGCTGTTCCCCTTCATTGTGTACTGTCCCTTTGGTCTCCTGTCACCTGATCCCATTTCCATAACTTTACATTTACTGGTGTTAAACTCCAGTAGCCATTTCTCTGACCATCTCTGCAGCCTGTTTAAGTCCTCTTGGAGGATCCTACAATCCTCGTCTGTCACAACTCTTCTCATTAATTTTGCGTCATCTGCAAACATTGACATGTATGATTCCACTCCTGTAAACATATCATTTACGTAAATTAGAAAGAGGATTGGTCCCAGCACCGATCCTTGAGGTACTCCACTTGTTACTGTTCGCCAGTCCGACTTTTCGCCCCTTACCATTACCCTCTGGCTCCTTCCTGTTAGGTAGTTCTTCACCCATACTAGGGCCTTTCCGCTTACTCCTGCCTGCCTCTCAAGTTTGTATAGCAGTCTCATGTGCGGTACCGTATCAAAGGCCTTTTGGCAGTCAAGAAATATGCAGTCTGCCCAGCCTTCTATGTCCTGCTTTATCCTTGTTACTTTATCATAGAATTCTAAAAGGTTTGTTAGGCATGATTTCCCTGTCCAGAACCCATGTTGGTGCTTGTTTACAAACCCAATGCTCTCCAGGTGCTCAACAAGTCTTAGCCTAATTATTCTTTCAAGTATTTTGCAGGGGATGCTTGTCAGTGATACGGGTCTGTAGTTAAGTGCCTCCTCCCTATCACCCTTTTTGAAAATCGGTACGACATTTGCCTCCTTCCAGCAACTGGGCAATTCTCCCGACATAAGTGACTCATTAAAGATCATTGCCAGAGGCACGCTGAGAGCCTGCGCTGCCTCTTTGAGTATCCACGGTGATACTTTGTCTGGTCCAACAGCTTTATTTGCATCCAGTGTTGTCAACTGTTTCATTACATCCTCTGCTGTCACCTCTATATCTGATAGTCTTTCATCTTGGGTAATCTCTTCTAACAATGGGAGCTGCTCAGGCTCGGTAGTGAACACTCCATGGAATTTTGCATTCAGTACCTCGCAGATTTCCTTGTCGCTTTCTGTATATGCCCCTTCTGTTTTCCTCAGTCTTGTCACTTGGTCATTTACCGACATCTTCCTTCTTATATGGCTATGTAGTAATTTTGGTTGCTTTTTCGCTTTGACTGCAATATCGTTCTCATAATTTCTTTCCGACACTCGTCTTATGTTAATGTAATCATTCCTAGCTCTGTTACATCTAATCCTGTTGTCCTTTGTCTTCTGTACTTCCTCCACTCCCTCCTGCTTCTCACCTTTGCTTCCTGACACTGTCTATTAAACCATGGGTTATTATATTCCCTCCTGTGTGTGTGTGTGTGTGTGTGTGTGTGTGTGTGTGTGTGTGTGTGTGTGTGTAATTACCTAAGTGTAATTACACTTAGGTAATTAACTATCCTCAGGTGATAGTTTTCTATCTAGAACCACCCCTAGATCTCTTTCTTTATCAGAATTCTTTAAAGATTTCTCACATAATTTATAGGTTGTGTGGGGTCTCTGTTCTCCTATTCTACATTCCATAATATGGCATTTATTCACATTAAATTCTATTTGCCAAGTGGTGGTCCATATACTTATTTTGTCCAGGTCTTCTTGAAGGGCAAGACAGTCATCTAAGTTTCTTATCCTTCCTATTATCTTAGCATCATCAGCAAACATGTTCCAATAATTCTGTATTCCAACTGGTAGATCATTTATGTAGACAATGAACATCACTGGTGCAAGAACTGAATCCTGTGGTACTCCACTTGTAACATTTCTCCAGTCTGATACATTGCCTCTGATTACTGCCCTCATTTTTCTATCAGAAAATTTTTCATCCATGTTAAAAGCTTACCTGTCACCCCTCCAATATTTTCCAGTTTTCAGAACAACCTCTTATGTGGAACTCTGTCGAAAGCCTTTTTTAGGTCTAGATAGATGCAGTCAACCCAACCATCTCTTTCCTGTAAAGTCTCTGTGACTCGAGTATAGAAACTGCGTAAATTCGATACACAAGGATCTTCCAGATCGAAAACCATACTGTCTGTCTGATATTATATAATTTCTCTCCAGGTGTTCTACCCATTTAGTTTTTATTATTTTTTCCAATATTTACACTATTACACTTGTCAATGATACAGGTCTATAATTGAGGGGTTTTCCCTGCTACCACTTTTGTAGATTGGAACTATGTTAGCCTTTTTCCACACGTCTGCTACAACTCCTGTACACAGGGATGCCTGAAAGATCAGGTGAAGTGGAATGCTGAGCTCAGTTGCACATTCTCTCAGAACATGTGTTATTGACAGCAACAGTTTTTGAAGGTAAAGGGAGCACATTGGAGCAAGATAGTGATGTTTTGATCAGAAGATGCTAAGGAGCAGAGGCAATTTAATTCTAAGCCAAAAATCAAGGTATATGTAAGATTATAGTTTAAGATTATATTGTGTGTGTTGATTTAAAGTGTGTGTCTAAGTTGATGAATATGCTGTTCCATATTATTTAGTTTGCAAAATGTGAAACCTACTTATCCAGGAGGATAAGTGGCAGGAGACTGAAGTCGCTCCTTTTGCTAACCATTGCACTCATGGAAAGAAACCTTTAGTATTTGACGAGGACAAAAGATTTACTACAGTATTAATTACTCTCCACTTCCTCATCCTTCTACCTCTTGTTCTACTGATTCACATAACTCAACAGACCTCCTTGTCCTTTTTATAAAAAACTCAATAATATTTCCTATAGAAATATTAAGTTTAGAGCAGACTATTGAAGGCTGCTGATCTGTGAAGGCTTTATCAAATCTTTATAGGCTCCTACAAGTGAAATATATTCTACAATACAAAATTTTGCTTTGAAAGATCTTTCAACTTGGTTATACAATATTTAATCTTTAAACATCAGTTCCTCAAATTTTTTTAGTTTTGATATACAGTATAATATATCTATATTACACATGTTGCACAGTCTGGAGTCTTTGTCATTTACATCTAGAGCACTATGCACACCAGTTATATATTTCTCAGGGCTCATACCACCTTAACCACTTTGGTGTCTTATTACAGCATGCAATACTTTCCTCAATATAGCCTTTAATTTTCACTCTTGTCATTAGATACATTAGCAGTTACAGTATGTAGAATATGCTTTATTCATAGATAATGTTTTTCATGTAAGGGCTTTGATTCTTTGATTCACCTGCAAGAATACAAAAGTTCTTGCAGGTGAAACATTATCTACAAATAAAGTCTACTCTCATCTTGGGATTTCTGTGAATCATTATCAGCAGTTTGTGTTCTCTACAACTAACATTTGCAGTTACAACATCCACATTCACCTTTGTAAACTAGTAAATGCTTTAGTTATATAAATTAAAACTTACATTTTGCTTAATCTATGCTTTCTTCAGGAACGGAACTTCCATCTCGGGTACCTGAAATAAAGAATGGTAAGCCTTATAACATGATATGAGGTCGCATGAGTGTATATTTGGAATGTCTAGAATTGGCAGCTGTGTGTTTAAAATTTAAATACAAATTAGGGGTTTGGCAATAGCCTTTAGAATTTAAAATGAACTAATTACTGTATTTGTTTTCATATTACTGCATAGTATGTGAAATTTTACATTTCCCATCTTATAAACTTTAACTAAATTCTGATTTAAAAGTGTATCTATTGGCTGTGTTCTTTGAATGTCGATTTCTTCCAGATAATTGTGGAGTCTTAGAGGAGCTGATGGAGAGCATTGCGGGGATGCAGAGTCGAAGAATGGATGAACAGAGAGCATCTTTACCTCAGTTGCCAGGACTAAACAATCAGCATGCCATTCTTCAGCGATTGTCTGTTGCTGCCAGTGATTCAACACCTCTTCCAGATGACAATTTCTTTGACATGCTCATGAGATGTCAGGTAAAGTGGGAGACAACTTGCTACTCAATAAGAAGAAATAATTGAAGGAGTAAATAAACTATATTCAGAATGTCCAAAAGTGATCCATTTATAAAGTCAGAATCTGAAGATATATCGGGTATAATAATGTAGACTTAAAAAAAATAATTTTATTAATAATCATTAAAATTATATTTTAATAGCCTGTACTATGAAAAGTACCACCAGCTTGTAGTTTCATAGTACTGCATCACAAAATAGTACATCTAACCAAACCTAAAATAACGTAACTTAATATAACCTTGAATCCTTGTCCTGTTGTCCAAGAAATGTATGTCCTTATGCACCTAGTTAACACTTTCGCGTTCTGATGACAGTCTCGACATCATAAAACAAAAATATGCAGAGGCCCTGATGACAGTAACGCTGTCATCAATTAATAAATTTGTAAAATTTCCATTTATTGTCCGCATATTGTGGGACTGATTTTAAAATGCGCACCATGATATTACAAACAATTTGATACCATAATGAATGATGTAGTACAAAAATGAATGTGAGAAAGCTGAGAAGAGTATAAACATTTCAGTTGTTTGTGCACTCATAGCCAACACTCGGCCTACTGCGCGGATTAATAAATTTGTACAAATTCCATTTGTTGCCCGAATATTATGGGACTGGCTTTAAAATGCGTGCCGTGATATTGCAAATTTTTTTTTTTATCAAAATGAATGACGAAAATTGAGGAGAAAGTTGAAAAAGAGTATAGACACTCGAGTATGATTTGTGGGCTCACGGCCAACACTCTGCCTACAGCGCGGATTAATAAATTTGTAAAAAATTTCATTTATTGTCTGAATATTATGGGACTGGGTTTATAATGCGTGCTATGATATTGCAAACATTTTGATACCAAAATGAATGACGTTGCACAAAAATTAAGGTGAGAAAGCTGAAAAGATTAACAACATTTGAGTGTGGTTTCTGAGCTTACGGCCAATGCTTGGCCTACCTTGCGATGTGTGGTAGGTCGCCCGCCGGGCACCCGGAAGTTTTAAATTCTGTGTATGATTCTCGCACTTAGGCCATTTACTCATGCTAAGAAAATAGCAGTCAGTACTATTTTCTTGATACTACGACATAAGTTGTAGCAAATAATATCTGTATTACTACGTATGTTAGCTTTCACTCAAATGGTGTAATTGTAATTCAATATAGTACAAAATCATTGTACCCAGCACCTTTAGTTCTTCCAGTGGTTATCAATTTGGTATTGTACCAAATAATTACAATTTGGTATTGTTATAAAATGTACCCCAAAATTTGTACATTTTTCTGCAAAAAAAATTGGTGCTACAAATATATAAATATATAAATAAATAAATATATATATATATATATATATATATATATATATATATATATATATATATATATATATATATATATATATATATATATATATATATATATATATAATTGATTTTTGGTAGTCCAGGAACAATTTTCTCATTGCACCTTTGGAAAATCTGGTTGTTATGAATGGCATACTTATGGCTGCCTTTTTGGAATGCATCCTGTTCATAATTTGGGAACTTCCTGTATTAGCTTCATGTAATTACCTAATTGTAGTTACTTATAGTATAGTAGTTACATAGATTAAATGGTATCAAAAAAGGAGAAACTTTTGGAAATCTTACTCATAATGTTAAATCCCTTGGCCTGGGATTTAATATTATAAGTAAGATTTTCAAAAGTTTTTTCCCTGAGTGCATTATCTTTTCTCCCTTTTGATACCATTTAGTCTATATACACATAAATAGGTGGGCTCTACCATATTTCTCACGTTCCAATTTCTTTACTTCCAACGGCTTGTTCGCGTTTATTAGTGACGTCTTGCAGCATTCTCTGGTGGCTGTTGTCCAGACATCATCTTGTAACACGGGTTCGGGTCCCTCTCTCTTTACTTCCTTCTTTCTACTCCCTCTACCCGTATTCTTACTTTTATTTCTAAACCAAGGGACTCCAAAACTTTTAACAAAGCCAACTCCACGCCACGTGGTCCTAAGACGATTGACCGACTTAGGATTCTACACCCAGTATGACGTGACCTAAGCTCTGCGCAAAACCCTAGAGTCGCCTCTATGCTGCCACCACCAGACCAGCTCTACAGAGCAATGATCGAGGTCTGGATCGATCACGCTAATTAATCAACCTTGGGGCTTGATCCCCACTAGTAGTTTATAACCTCGGAAACTTGAGTGTGGAATTAATTTAGATGGGGATGATGAATTCCGATCCGATGTTAGAATCGGCGCCCAATGCAACTCTGCCTCGTGTGGACCACGTGACCAGGACAAGTTTACACATAAAACACATGGAAATAATGAAATGCAAAAATATTAACAAATTTAATTTATTAAAAGAAAACTAAAACAAAATCTAAAAGTGTTCACTACCTATCACTTTAACACTCCCTACTTGACCTGAGTGGCAAATGAGAAGACTATTTCTATAATTAACAATAGCAACTATACCTTGGGCGACCAGCTAGATGTCTTGGTTGGTCTTGGGGAGAGGTAAGATGTTTGACCTCTCCCAGTTGCTTCCGTGACCACACTGACTCTCTCTTGTCTGGACTACCCCAGACAGAACATTGTATCCTTCCGCATCGCTTACCCAGTTACTTTAGCAAGGTTAAGTTATAACAATTAAACTCTGTTGTACTTAATTGATCCAGACTGGTTGAATTATTTTACTGAATTAAATTACAAACATCTAACGGCAGAGCTGTTCCCGATCCCCAAAATGGTTAATAAAACTTTGAGAAATATTAGACATGTCAACCCTGCTGACCTATGACCGCCGGTCACTCCGCCTTAAAAGTTAGATCCGATTCGTGACGTCACTGATGGTGACTTAAACTCAATAATTAGAATACTCTTGATATTGTATCCAGTACTATTATACAATACAATTTTAATGCAAAATGAATAAAGGCTAATTTTCTCTAATTTACTGAATACTATAGGATGATTCATTATACGCAGATATGAACAAAGCGTCGGTTATTTCCACCGCGAATTCCCCTGGGGGTCAGGTCACCATGCGGCTCAGCTTCCCATTCTCTTTTGTCGATAAACCACTCTGGATAATTCTTACAACAGCCTAGTTTGTTACAATCTGGCCTCACCCGGTCGATAACCCGCCTTCTCTTACATTGTCTCTACACTTGTCTTTCTCAGTACAGCTTTGATGATGACTCAGGAGTTTAAACACTTAAGTGTTAATTTAACCTTTGTTTTCACTGTGGTTATTCTGCATATAGCTTTATAAATGGTTATATCTTGAGGTTATCTTGAGATGATTTCGGGGCTTTAGTGTCCCTGCGGCCCGGTCCTAGACCAGGCCTCCACCCCCAGGAAGCAGCCTGTGACAGCTGACTAACTCCCAGGTACCTATTTACTGCTAGGTAACAGGGGCATTCAGGGTGAAAGAAACTATGCCCATTTTTTTCTGCCTTGTGCGGGAATTGAACCCGCGCTTAATTGAACCCGCGAATGGTAGTTACATATATTCTTTGAATTTCAAGGTACCCTGTATAAACAGAAGGTAATAATACTGACAAGCCAAATTTTTATTTGTGCAGTTTGAAGTGTTAGTATGTGTGTGTGTGTCTTATTTTTTTTATATGTAAATCATTTGACAGGAGATAATCCTTTTGCAGGGTTCTCGAATTGAAGATCAACGCAGTTCTCTTCCAAATGATGGTTCCCTCCCTCAATCAGCTCCCACTGTGCCTGATGATGACTTCTTCTCCCTTATCATGCGATTCCAGTCGGGTCGTTTGGAGGATCAACGTTCCACTATGCCTTTAGAAGCTTCTCGAAATAGCACTCATCCAACTACTGATGAAGAGGAACCACCCAGTAGTGCCCAGTCTGCAGGAACAAAAGATGGACTAGTTAGTAGACTGGTAAAAGGTAGAAAATGAAGAAATCTTTAGCTTGAAATAAAGCATATTAAACTATTTTTTTATCATTTTTATGGGTTCAGATTGAATTATAAGAAGGAACATGCCTTTCTACAGTGTGTGTTCCATTTAGAGTTCATGGTATTTCTAACTCATGCATTTTGTACTAGTTAGTTCAGGTATTTTTGGATTATAGATGAGCATTTTAATTGTAACAAATGTTATATTTGTTTAAACCTAATCATTACTAATATCATATGTAAAATGAAATCTTAAACTTGATAGCTTATATATGCGAGTATTTTGTTAAGCAGGGAACAAAACCAAAATATGGCTTATGACTCGGTGGTAGTAGTAGCAGAAAAACAAGAGAGGGGGGAGGACAGTGTAACCCACATGGAGCATGGCGTATAAATCACAAATGTTACAATGATTGTGCTCTAAAAATCAAATGGCTTTTACCAAAGGAGTACTATTGATTCTTTTGTATCTAGGCTTATAGAATACCACATTCAGTGTCATTAATTTAACCATAAAAAATAAAACAATAAAATAATAAAACCATGAATCTATTCCTCCTCCACCCCTATCTCCTCTGTTTCTCTGTAGTACTACCTCCAAAATGATTCAATTAAGCAATAATTAATATTTATTCTACAAGGAAGATTTCAAAATTTTACATATTTTTACCAATTATCACTAACTGGGATGTTATGTAATGTATAGGGTTCAAAATTCATAATGATAGTTAAGAATTGGTTTGATTTCTTAACCCTCAGAGGTGCACATGACAATCCCGTATATTATTTGAGCACCAAATATAAATTCAGGGCTCTAAAGTCTGTGAACTTGTAGTTGTATATACAGTATATAAGAGTTGTATTGCTCTAGCAGAAAATATAATTATTTCACTCTAAAAATGGGATTCAGTGTTACATATTTTATAAACCATTGTGATTGCCAGGTAGGATGAAAATGTAACATGAATAAATTTTCTTAGAGTTTGAAGAAACTATAGGAAAGAATTATGTATACTAAATGTATATTGTGTATAAACTGGCAGGTACTCTTGGTATGAATGTATGCAATAATTGTAGGGCTTGAGCCAGGATGCAAGACAAAATACATTGAAAGATCTTTAATTATATCATGGCTTTGAACGTTTCCAAAGGTTTCTAGATATTGATGGCTGTTAGACAAAATTAAGGGGGCGTAATCTCCACCAAATGTGGTTTATCAGTGATGGCATACTGAGAACTCTGTTTACCAGTAGCATATCAGTTGTGTTTCTGTGCTCTCGTGTTGTACATGTATGCATGCCATCCTAAAGTCCTGTGTGTAATCAGTGATTCTGTGATCAGCAATTCATGTGAATATATTGTTCTATTGCCAACCTTGTGCGAATTAGCACTTTGTGACCTGATTAACTTTATTCTTATACATCTATCTACTCATGAATAGTCCCTTCCAAGCTTTTTACGCTAGATATATCAGATTAACACGAAATGAACTCTCCTGACCGGGTCCAACTCTAGGTCAATTTTGTTTGAAACTGTCAAAAATTCCAGCTCTAAAGGATAGTTTGCATTACATTATTGTGAAAGCTTAATAATGTGAATTATATTGTGAAACCCAAAGCAGAAATCTGGAATACAGTATAAAACTATAAAGGATGTAATCTGATATTAAATCCTATTACATTAAATTTTTCCTGTTTTGTTTGTCTTCAGTAATGGGTGTAATCTGCTCATTTTAAAGATGGTATTGGTCAGGAAAATGTATTAAAAAATTATACCAATAACTATTTACTGAGATTTCTTTGGTTATACACCTTTTTATCAAATAGGCATGTAGATACAAAATTCAGATTTTATCTTTTTTCTTTATTTTTTTTATATATATAGTTAAGACAGTGGCTTGTACATATGACATCTTTTATGAAGTTCAGTTGCTACAAGTACTGTATGACTGTTTGGTTTAGGCAGTAAGTTCATGGTTGAATAATAAGGTTTAAGTATTTTTTCATATAAAGAACTATTGAAATTAGTTACATTGTAGCATGACCATTTTTTTTATTAATTATTTACTCTCAAACTAATTTGATTATTGCTTTAGGTCATTTGATGTTGTGTGTTATCTGTTTGTGGATTTATGCAACAAGTTAAAACAAAAATATACATTTAAAAATTGATATAGGTGGTTACTTATATACAGTATATATATTTTTATTTTCAGAAAATTAAAAAAATTAATTATATAGTTTCGAATGTAATTTGAGATAGCAAAGAATACCATGAATTTTCTGTAATTCAGACATGTATAAAAATATGATTTATAAGCTAACGACCAAACATGCATAAAATACAAAACTTGAGACGTTATTAGATGGCACACAATGAATTATCAGGCAACTCTCATATGGCAAGACTGTATGTCCCATTATTTTAACATCTCATAGACTGAGAGAATATAAATGATATGAAATGTTCCATTTTCTTTCATATATATATATATATATATATATATATATATATATATATATATATATATATATATATATATATATATATATATATATTGCTTTAATAAGGTTAAAAAAAAATAGACAAAAAAATATAGGATAGTAGTAGTTTTGGGAGAAGCCGTCGAGCCTGTTTGACCATTCTTTTACTCTTTTTTTATTTTAAGTTTGGGGTGTGTATCTCATTTCAGACCTATTGCACTTGTGCTAATCCGAGAATTTATATCCAAGAATTTCTACTTAAATTTTGTTTAGCCTGATTTAAAATTTAACAGAAAAAAAGACAGAAGAGAGACCATTCTGGGTGTCACAAGGCCATTGAACCACCTTAATCATTGGACAGCAGTTATATAAAAATGGCCATACTCGCTTGTGTCCAAAAAAATAAACAAAAAATCCAGAAATTATTTTTCATTAAAGAATTATTTGATTTTTCTTATATTTTATATTCAAGTTAATAAGTGAATATTTACCTTTTTACTGGGTGGAGGTCGTCTGAAAGGTTGCGCAGTGGCTATGTGGTCTGGTTTCTGTCAACACGCAATGATAACTTTGCTGACACTGAGGTATGTGAGCCATGACTCCTGTGTTCTCCTTTAGCTGTTCCATTGATTATTTTTATTTTTTACGGGTGTGCGTTGAATTTTTTATAAATCACATATGATACTGTTTCATTTGATGATTGATTTACCTGGTATACTTCATTACAATCATATAGAGTATTAAAAACCATATAAATATATATACATAGGTGTTGGGCTCTGGGTGATGACATAGGGCCTAATTGGCACCAAATAGGTAGCAGTATAGATGAAACGGTCTTAAGCCTCCAATGCACCACCCACAGATAACAGCAGGCTCCTTGTACACACAATGCATGATAATGGTTTAATTGATGATTAATTTACCTGGTATACCCCATTACAATCATATGGAATTGTGAAAACCATTTGAACATCATTGGTATACATGTGTAATCATGATGGAATTTTATACTATGACCACATTCATCTAAAACATTTGGCGTCACATAGTAACTAACGTAACCATGGAATAATAGGATTTTCTTTCCATGGTCACATACTCCATTACATCCAGATAGAGCTATTATATCCTTTGCATCATACATGTGATGGTAATTGTTTAAATCATATGATAACATTACCCTGTGGATCAACATATGATAATAACTGCTGTCTAAGGGTTAAGAAATATTTAGCAACTGGTTATCGTGTCAAATTTGAAGAGCAATATAGATATTAGTGTCCCAATGTGCACATAAGGATTTTCTTGAGTGCAACACAAAAATCTATTTCATTGTACTACACATCAAACACTTTTATAAGTGATACCTTTGGACTTTTTTGTTTACTTTTATTATCGTTCTTTTTTTACTTACTCAAAGTTTACAATCGATTTATCAAGGTATATGTGAGGTACATTAATACCTCATTGCTTTAATTAGATGGTTAAATCTTGTTCAAGTTAAAACCATGGCTGAATATTTAAACTGAGCAATGTAGTAGCTGTTGCATTTGAGTCATAATATTGTAAAATGGTAATGATTTCTGATTATATAACCGAGGTACATTTCATTATCGAGTTGTGTTGCCCACTTGCAAAAATTTTTTTGTTTATATAAATTGGAAAGGGGCAAGTCCTGATTATTGCCAAGAACCCAACCATACCAGCTTCTCTCCAACACGCCCAACGATTTCCACCCATCCACTCTAACTCTTAATCACCATACCATTCCCATACTTCTAAGAACTTCATTACTCTTAACACCCCTATCATCCATTCTCTACCCTTCTTTGCTAATTGACCTTCCATCTTCCTTCAATATTCTCCACTCATTGACCATCACTCATACCCACACCGTGCCCAAACACCCACTTATCGTATACCCAACCACTGCACTATCCACTTCCAAATACCACCATCTGCTAACCCACTCATAACCTTATAACATTCCCACTCAATCTTAAACTACTGGACACTCAATTACGAACTATAAACCAACTTCACATTCACACTTTGCCCCCATCACGATCACATCCACCCTCGCCCAATAATCCGCCTGCCCACCATACTCTTCAACTGCCAACTCATTCCAACAACCTATCTAAAGAGGGCTAATAGGGAATGTTATCTATACAGGAGGCTACCAGATAATTAGGAAAGAGAGAGACAAGAAATAGAAGATTGGTATTGTTGCTACGTTAATATTGTAAATTGATTATAACCGTCCCTTTTGACCAGAACTATTTTTATGGATGCATTTAATGGTCTTCCCTCCCCATTTCCAATTTGGGTTCATTTGATGCTTTGTGTTTTTGCTCTCACCACTTACTATTGTGGTAACTATTTCTTCCTTCAATAGCATCTGTTCCAGCTTGTGATAATGTTTCATCTTGGGCAACTAGGCAAGAGTTTTCTTCTCTACTGCAAAAACTTGTTACCACTTTTACTAGGAAACATGTCCTCCAGCTGCTGCTGTCTATAGAAGGAAACTGAACAAATCCACAAGGGTCGTGATGAAGGTTTGAAACTACGTCCAAGAGGGTCTTAGACGCGCCTTAATGGGCTGTGCCATGACACGGTCAAAGAATTGCAACTGGGAGTTCATCTGTTCATTTGATGCATCACGTTATTGCGATTTCTGTGTGTAGAAGGGATCTATCATATAAAGGTCATGCAGAACCTTGAGGGTTGAATTTGACACCCTCTTCTCTTGGTTGTCAAAATATGAATGCTTCTTTGTATACTCATCCCTGGTGCTGGCTAAACTAGTCTATGGATATCCTGCATGTTCATTGGCTTCTTCCTCTACTTTCATCTTAATGCTTTGCGTCATACTGGATTGTCTCTCAGCTCGGATCTTGTATTCTTTCCCTACCATAGAAAGCAAAATGGCAGCAAAAGGAATAACTTTTGGTTTTAAAGATCTCTGGATTGCATTTAATGGAACTACAAACAGCAGTACCTAGAGTCTGATGGGAAATATACGATGACCTGCCAAACTGGAAATGCTGAAAATCCTCCTCAGGCAAGGGACATCAGCTATTCACACCATCATGAAGACAAAGGTGTGCAAGGGAAAACTGAACCCCACTGTACTCACCCAGTCATACTCGCCTAGTTGTGCTTGCGGGGGTTGAGCTTCGGCTCTCGATTCCTAACTATGAGGAAAGGTTTAAGCATTCTTGAATAAAAACAATTGTAATGAAACCTAAGTGCTTCCTAAAGGAAAGCGCAAAGCCTCTTACCTAATAAGCAGTTAGGGAAAGTATAATTGAAATAGGTGATATAACACACTGTGAAATGTGAATTTACCCATCATCAAGCCTGCAGAGGGAAACAAGTCACATGCACTACTCAGCAGCAGGATGACTGGAGAAGAAGTAACTCTTAAGAGGAATGAACCTAAACACCTTAGAGCAGGAAAAACACAAGCCAATAGCAGATGTGAGGGGGGGGGGGGAACTCTGGTATAAAGTAAAATAATAAACCAGGGCACATGCAATGAAGGATGATATAAATCACAATTGTGGAGTTATTGTTAATCACAATAAATTGCAAAGAATAAATAATGCAATGGCTCCCACCAGAATGAAAATTCCAGGGATAGCCAAGACCATAGCTTAGTTGTGCACATCCTATTTCACACGTCATTGGACCTGTTCTAAGCGAGACCAGGCGAGTGAAGAGGGGTGGACTGGCTGGAGCCTCGGATGACTTGGGTTATCACCTGGAGGCAGTTGGCTGCATAATGCTGGGGTCTTTACATCCAGAACCTACCACAAGGCAGCACTCCTCATGAGTGCTGCCTTGTGGTAAGGAAGATCATTTGCATTACTCTCATGCTGGTGTGAGCTGCTCTAAAAGGACAGTTTTTGGGGGCAAGAGTTAAATGGGGGGGTCTTTGCACTAGTATAGGATGTTGAAAGGAGGATCAGCACCCGAGAGGATTTGTCCTTCCCTGTGCCATCTTGTGCTCAACCTCCCTCACTGCCTTGGTAGATGGTATTTCATGGTTCAGAACCATCCTATTTATTCCTTTTATGGCATCTAAAATCTATTTACTTTCAGCCTCAAGTGGCAGGAAAAGACCCTCAAGTTAGATCAGCCTGGTTGATTGGTCTTCCCAATCCCCTCTTCTGGCTCCACAGCTCCTGCTATGTTAGTCCCTGACTTTACTCTGTCTTTAGCGCACCTTCCTTATCATCACTTCATGATGTCCCTACAAGACACACACTGGTAGGACCTGTTCCCTCTTTCTTCTGTTCTTTAACTGCAAGGATGGTCTGCTTACAGAATTCTCTTTCAGTACATGTCCTCAATGCATCTCCTTATATTGTTCGTACTCGGCTCCCATGGTGGGTCCTACTTTTTTAAATTTTATAAAAGGCCTAACCTGCATGGTGAAGGCTTATACCCCTCGTACTATTATGAAATGTCTTTCTTGAACATTTCTCCTGCTATTCATGTACTGCCTTGTTCATTGATAGGTTAGTCTGAGCCAGTAATATTTGTAATTCCATTGTATTTACAGATATGCCCACCTTTTTCCAGAGGCGAGCACTTTCACAGTGGAGCTTTGAGTGCTAGCTGCTTTTTATACACCAGCATTCATTTTTATTGTGGTCAATGCTTGCAGTGTCTTCATGGATCTACTGTTTAAACATGTCCTTTGGTGGTTGAAATCCAATATGAGCTACTTATCTTTTATGGATTTACAAGTCAAATTTTGCTGGGTTTCCAACCATTTGATGTTGCTTCTAATAAATGTGCAGATGCTGCTGCCAAGAACATAATTTGTGCTAGTCTTGTCTTTCAAAAAATTACTATTCAGATTTCTACCCAGTCATTCATAACATGTACTGTTATATGTAGCCTATCCCCATGGCCTTCATCCTGCCACCATTATAGGTGGGAAAGTTCTGGTTAGGCTGCATATTGGTTACAAAAGCTCGACTCATAGGCACTTAATGGAACACTGCCCTGTTTATTATCTGAAATGCACTGTCAAACTTAGTCATGTTTTCCCACTGTCTCTCCAAGTCACTTGTCACACTGAATCGTTGGTGAATCTGATACTTTTGATGTCCCTGATAAAAGAATCTGATACTTTTTGATGCTCTTGCCTTGGCATCCTGGGTGATATTTGGGATCTTTTGAATATCCAATGACTCAGATGGTGCTAAATAGTCTTCCAGGCTTGGCACCACCGTTTGATAATTACAGTACTTCCTAGCATTAACCATATGCACATTCCACCCTCATTTACTATATGCTTACACTTTCCCCAACCTCACTCGTCACATGCTTACACTATCCAATCTAGACCCAACTACCAGCCATGTGCCCATTCCTATCAACCATATACAGTATCTAGTCAATATGTCTACCACCACATGCCTGCACTTAATATTTTTTGCATTGAATTATATCTAACAAGGAAGGTATCCACTTTTTCTATGATTGTGTGTTATCAAAAATGTCTCCTTTTTACATAAAAAGAAAATTTGGTCATGGGATTCATAACTTTTTCAATAGTGTTTTTGGAATCTCTCTAGGAATGCATTCTTGTAGGATAAAGTTAGTCATTTAAACTATATATTTACTGAAGACCAATATATGCTGGTGTCTTTCCAGGGCATCTATTCCATATATATAAGGTGTAATAGCTACTTGAGATGCATAACGGCTGTAAATCTGAAGAAAGTCAATATACCACTATGTACAACATGATCTACTTATTTTATTTTGGCATTTGTGTGCAGCTTTAAAATACAGTGGTACCTCGGTGTACAAATTTAATCCATTCCAAAAAATGTAACATAACCCAAATAATCGTAAACCAAATCAAAGTTTTCCAAAAGAAATAATGTAAATTGAATTAATCCATTCCACACACCCAAAACAATAAGGTATAAATATAAACTGTAAATAAATGAACATTTAATTGCACTTTATCTTTATTGAGGATTCTTGTCAGTGTATGAAAGACTGTGAGGAGAAGGGGGGGGGGGGGGGAGGAGGAGAAGTGTTAGTGTTTGGAAGGGGCGTTCCCTCTCATTATAACACCAGGCAGTGACGACATTTCTGGGGTACACACACTCCCACTCCTACGTTTTGTAGGCATACCACTAGGACCTGGTTGTCTCGCTAAAAATCTGTCTAAAGACATTTGTTTTTGCCTAAGTTTTAACAATTATCTATAGCGAGACATCTCAATGTCATTAAAAAGGTTAACACAACAGCTTGCTACAGCTTTTTGGTATTTTTTTTCCATAAAAGGCCTGTCTTGTCACAAATAGAAACTTGTTGTAGTAGGTATTTCTCACCCTCTACAAATTCCTTAAATTTGGCAGCAAATTTTTCTGCTGCTTCTTTATCTGAGTTAGCATCCTCCTCATGACATTATGAATACTTTTTTTTTTATAAATATCTGTATGTCAAACCATCCCCTGCTCGTCTTCTTTATAAGATCATCATGCAGTATTCTATTTTTTCACAAATGATGGCCTCTGAAACATTATCACCCGCTGTTTGTCATTTATCCACATTAATAACAACTTTTCAACATCAAGTGCTTGTAGTCTTTGCTTCGTTAGCACTATTACACCTTTTGCCACATTAATACTCATAATTAATTTTTTCTTAGCAATTAAGGTACTTATCATTGACACAGATTTGTTGATCAATAATGTAGTTATTGTCTACTCTTTGTTGCAACTATACTGGGATAACACATTTGTTATCTTTGTCGTTAATTTTGTTTATACTGGGATAGTTGCCTAGCCAGATCAAACACACACATACACGATCCTTTCGCCCTTTGTCTGAGACCTGGAACTTCAAGAACAAGAGGTCATAAATTTAAACTAACTAAAAGAAGATGCCGAAGAAATGTAAGAAAATTCACTTTCGCAAACAGAGTGGTAGACAGTTGGAACAAGTTGTGGTGGAGTCTAAAACCGTCAGTAATTTCAAAGCATTATATGGCAAAGAGTGCTGGGTAGACAGGACACCACGAGCATAGCTCTCATCCTGTAACTACAGTTAGGTAATTACACACACACACACACACAGTCTTCATGTTTACGAATAAACCTGTATTTGAGTAGTTTTTTTTTTTTTTTTTAGTCATCCTCCTTACAACTATTTTCTTAGGTTGAACTTTACCACTTACTTTCTTGGGACCCATGGTGTGATTTATAATAACTTTTTTGTTGTTGTTGCTTAACATAAAACTCACAAAAATTATGAAATATTTTAGAGAATTCAAGCATAGTTATCATTAGGCTGGATTCAAGCATAAAAACTGACCTTACCGACTTAGACAAGTATGAACCAGCAGTTTGTACTCTGGAGTAAAGGTCATACACCAAGGCTGACTAAAAATTTCTGACTAAATTTGTCGTACACCAGAAAATTCCCATTCAGGTCCAATCGTACATCGAGGTTCCACTATATAGTACTACAGTATCTTTCATATATCCATAATACAAAAGAAAATGTGAAAATTTCAACATGTTTTGTTTAATACTCGGTTGTTAAATATACATAAAATGTAAATTTAGGTATAATTACATATCAACATTACATCACAACTTTAAACTAAATACATTCTTTTTAAAGTATGAGTAACACTGCAAAAATATGTAACTCTTCATATGGTTGGATTAAGACTGTGCTAAAATATAGGATATTTTACATATATTAGTACTGTAGGTACATATAGGATGTACTGTACAAGGAAAACCTGACAGTGAGCACAGTTCTCTACCTGTAACTAAAAATATGTAAAATATATGCATAACTTATATGTATATACATAAGTGGTCATGCTCCCTCTGAATCTTCAAGTAATATGAGACTTTTGAAAGAACATTTGAAACATTTACCAGTCAGAGAAACTTACCTAAGGGTTTGTTTTACAATTACTCACCACTTGGGCTAAGAAACAAAAATGTGTTGCAAGAAAGAAAATTGCTGTAGCAAGCAATTACAAATAAGAAAGAAAAATGAACAGGAAGGAAAACAAATGGAAAAATAGTGTTCACCGACAGGTCAATGTGAAGATGAAGTAAATGGAGCCGAGCATCAAGTGTTACCACAATGAGTATTGCCAAAGAAGAAAAAATAACCATTAATGAGGGATGTTGTATGCATTTTGCTTACTTGTAGTAGTAGTGCTTCCATGGGCAACCAAGACTGGCTAATCTAATGCCACAAAACTGTTTTAATGTGCCAGGAAATATAAAATTATTTCTTTAAATTAGTTATTATTAAGCTTATTATTAGTAATGCTTGATAGTTGGAAGAAAACACCTTCTATAAACTAATTTAAGAAAAAAATTTAAATTTAAATATTCAAATAAAAATGATTAAGGTAAATTTTAAATTCATACATACAGTAAACTCTTGATTATCTGGATTGCTTGAATTAACACACAATTTAATATGTATTATGCAATAAAACCCTGATAGGCATGCTGTCAAACTATTGTCTGTGTTAGGGTGATGCACTTAATAGGCAATAGAGTATTGCATCTAAATTATGAAGCAATTTGAGAATTCAGAAAATAGAGTTGACTGTTGATACCAATTGCAAACGGGATTTATAATAAAATTAATACTGATAGTTTAAACCTGCATCCATTTATCCTATCAACTGAACAATGAACATATATGTTGACCAGACCACACACTAGAAGGTGAAGGGACGACGACGTTTTGGTCCGTCCTGGACCATTCTCAAGTCCAGGACTGACCGAAACGTCGTCGTCCCTTCACCTTCTAGTGTGTGGTCTGGTCAACATAATTTAGCTACGTTATTGTGACTCATCGCCTGCAAATGAACACATAATAAATTGTGTTGATAAAAATGGAAAACAAGAATTAGGAACCTAACAAGAATAAATGTATTTTCAAATATGCCTTTTGGCAAGGAATTTTGCATTGTAGTGGAATAATAAAATTTCAAGTACGTAAGAGAACTGAACATCAGATTGGTTTGATGGGATGTAACACAGAGCATTTGTTTCTAAATATCTAGAGAAAAAAAAAAAAAAAAAAGAAGTTTTTCAGCACAAGTTAATCAGTTCAGTATAAATTTAAATCTTATTGCTTTCTTATTCACATAATAATAGTAACATAAAACTATCAGATCTGACTAGAAATATAATAAAATAAGCACTATTTCATCAACACTGCAGCAGAAAGTTAACAAAACCTTCTACTGTATATATATACAAAAAATATATTCAAATACTGTATATTTACCACTTTTTATGGGAACAAAAGTAATTATTGGTATGTAACCAGAGAACAAATTACTGCATTGCATTGATTTAACTTGACAATAAAAGCAAAGCTGTTATCTGACAGTGTAAAAGATTTAAGTGTGCATGTGTGCTTGTGTGCATGTGGGTGTTGAGTGTAGTGAAACTGACAGTAAGATGTCATTGATGGTCCAGCAGTAGAATATTCAGTCCTAAATAAATGCTCATAGACCCCATGCTCTTGGAAGGCTCTGGTGCTTCACACTTGTTAAGTCTTACAGCTTAAATAAGCCCTGTATATATTAATAGCATTGGATATGAAAGTGTTGAAAACATGTAGTTTATTTACAATCCCTAAGTAAATTTATTTTAAAAAGGTTATTTTTTTATTTTTTCCCCAATAAAGAAACTTGGAAGTCACTTTTTTCAGGGATATTCCTGTGTGGGCTCTAAGCCCCTGGCTGGCCAACTAAATGTCACTCCTTTCTTAGTTTAGATACGAGTTATATACAGGTATACTCATCCACTACCTATAATGAAGGCATTGAAAAATTCTTACAGGTGCAGTGAAATTGGAAAACAAGATAACCCAGAGATTTTCAACCCTAAACACTGAAATTGTCATGGCATTATGACAATCAGATCGTTTTAAGGAGAGACTTTGTATTTAATGATGAATATATATATTAGCCAGTACGCACTTCTCGGCCTACTATGCAAGGCCCAATTTGCCTAATAGGCTGAGAGATTTAATTTATTTAAAAAAAAGTTTCCAATTGGTTTATTTGAATTATTATTATTATATTAGGAACATAAATTATTGACTTAGTTTAGGCTAGGTTAAGATAGGTTGGGTTAGGTTAGGTCATATATCTAAGTTAGTTTTAACTGAAATTTTAAAATACAGGATGAACTTAAACAATGAAATGGATAGCTTTATCATTTCATAAGAACAAAAATTAGAAAAATATATAAATTCAGGAAAACTTAGCTTATTAGGCAAATCGGGCCTTGCATAGTAGACCGAGTACTGTGTTCTGTCTACTAGGTACATATATATATATATATATATATATATATATTATATACTCCCTCTAATGCGTTATGCGTGGTTTCCTCCGAGGCTATGGGTCCCCCTTCTTCCAGCTAGAGGTGGTACTCTTTTTTGTTATATATATATATATATATATATATATATATATATATATATATATATATATATATATTATATATATATATATATATATTATATATATATATATATATATATATATATACACACACACAGTATATATATATCATATACATTATATATATATATATATATATATATATATATATATATATATATATATATGATATATATATACTGTGTGTGTGTGTGTATATATATATATGTCGTACCTAGTAGCCAGAGCGCACTTCTCGGCCTACTATTCAAGGCCCGATTTGCCTAATAAG